AGTTTTCAAACTACTCGTAATAGTCAAAATTGAGTACAAATGTAACACCTCGAACAAATGTATAGATGATCAGTGAATTTAGGTTATTTTTGTCCGGTAGGTGGAAATAGTATACTTATTTCTAATTTACAAAAGATAAATCGTACATTTTCGGAGTTATTTTGGCAATTATTTATAATATTTGAAGAAATTTATAGAAAAGAAAGACCGTTTCGGATTTACAAATAACGGGCATGTAAGCTCATAAGCAGTTTGAGCTCGCAAGTGGAATGCAAATAATGCAGTTATTAAATAAAGATGATTGGTAAAAAATTCAATTAAAAATTTGTTTCAAATTTGATTTTCTTAGGTCATTAGGTTTTTTATTTCAAATTTATCAATTTAAAATTTTGAAATAAAATTCTAAATTTTAAATTGCTAAATTTTTTTAATTATAAAATTTTTATATCAGGCAGGTCTTTAAACCCCATAAACATAAATGTAAAAATCAATTGCTTCCATTGGTTGGTATATAATTTGCTTATCTGAATCTAAGATTTTAGGATAAAATACTTTTAACTTTAAGATCTTAAGTATGTAATGTTATGTAATATTGTACATAACTGTGTAATGTGCTGCTACATATCCCTTTTAAAAAATATGTGTGCAAGAAAAAATTTAGATTTCGTGCTGTATTGTATTTGCACCCAAACAATATTTTGATGAAAAATTTTTGAATACGCAGTTGACCCTCAGTGGGTTTACTTCGGTACGTTAACGAATACGAAAAAAATTTTTTTTTTAATTATTTAAAATCCAAAAAAAGGAAAGAAAAATTCTAAAATTTAAAAAAAAATTAAATTAAAAAAATAAAGAGAAATAATAATTAATAAAATTAAAATTGGTTTACTTAACAAAATATCAAAAGTTTATTTAAAAGTTGTACAAGAAAAGATAAAAAATATTTAAAAAAAAGTAAAAAAAAAAAAGAATTTTTTTTTTTAAGAAAAAAGCCATTTTGAATGTGTATTGCTGGATGGTGTTTTTTTTTATTTACATTTCTAATAATATTTTTCATTTTATTTATAATATTTACCCAACATGATAACAATAATATAATAAATTGGTTAATTATCATTTCGAAAAAAAATTCAACACAGAATTAAAAAAAAAACAGTGTAATTTCAAATAAATGCAAAAAAAAAAATTTTCTTTTCATATTTTTTCTTCTTTAATTTTAAAGGTCAAGAGAACAAGAAAATAGAAAATTTTTCCTTTTAATATACGAATAAGATATTTTATATAATACACAATATAGATAAGAATATAAAATATTTTATGTATACATAATATACATATACATATATATATAAATTTTCATAACTAATATACAAAATTCATTTTGCATTTAAAAAAAATATACAAGCTTACATATAATATTTTAGTGGGTCTTAGTCATATTTTAGTATACGGTTATACACATATACTCGTACTATACTTAAATAATATTTAATAACATTATATATATGTATATTATTTTGTATATTAATATTGTATTTACATTTATATTTTAAATACATGTATGAATCTATGTAGTTTAATAAAATTTTAATAAAATATCTAACATCAAACTAAAACAGAGATAGAAGAAGAAAAAGAATTGAAATATTTTGTCTGGAAAACTCAGACTCCTGTTTTTCCTTCATACATAATATGAGCAATAATATTATATATAATTTGTAACAATAATTTTATTTAGAGATAATATTCATAAAATTTTATATTTTAAGTAAAATATAAATTAAATTTCATTAAAAATACATTTATTTTTTTTAAATTTTATTGAAATATTGTTATAATTATTGCTTTTATATTTAATAATTGTAAATTAAATATGCAACCTGAAAATTAAGCCAACAATGCAAAAATATAAAAAGAAATGTTACAGTATAGAAATGAAAATAAGGCAATATGATTAAACTTTTGTTATATAGGGCTTTTGGCATAATTTTAATATAAAAAAAGTTTTATGTTAAATTAACTTTTTATTACAATGACAACTATGAAACTTAACGGTTAATAAATTTTCCAATATTTTTATTGAATTTGTTCCTCACTCTGGGAACCGATTTTGGTCAATTTCACATCTCAACTCTATATATAGTAATTTTTAAAGTAAATAACAAAAAATAAAACATTTTTGTTTTATTTATTGAAAAAAATTATAACTCGTACATTTATAAAAAATATGCGAACTAAAATTAATTTAAAACTTAAAAAAATATTATTGGTGTTAATTTTATCCCGTTTTACTCATTAGATATTATTACTATTAATTAATAATATTTTTAAAAAAGAAAAAAAAATGTCCATTATAATTTAATTTTACCATAAATTTCATCGAAACATCGCAATTATGCAATCACAATTCAATTTTTTTTTAATAATTTTAAACAAAATTTAATATTAAAAAATAATTTTTTTTTTAATCAAATAAACTTCTTTTCATCTATCTACATATACAAGAATTAGATAATTTTTAACACATATGTTAATTAAATTTTCTATTTAACGCTTGAAATTTGAATTTTATTAATGAATAGTTAATTGATACTTTTGTACTTAAATCTTTTAAATTGATAACGTCTGCAGCGCATTGAGTTCATTCATAAGAAATATTTAGAATTAATACCATGAATATCTAACATTCAACTTTAAAAATTCATTATTCTCGCAGGTGTATTAAGTATTTATATGGAAAATCATTCGCCCACAGTTAATTATCTATATATATAAAAAAGTTGGCGTTATATAGGTATTCGTCGAATTTCCTTAATATATATATTTTTTTTTACTTTAAATTATCTTCTTTAATTATAAAAATGTAGTTTTTGTTAATACATTTCAAGTACGAACTTATGTAGATACATACGTAAGTGCAATTTTATATAACAAATATAGTATGTCCAATTTTATGTAACAAATAATATTTCAGCAACAATTAATTAATAAGGTGAAAATTTACAATATAATTTCAATTATTTGATAAAGGTCTATATTTATATCAATTCTAAAAAATAAAGGTCTCTATTTATCAATTACTAAAAAATAAAGGTCTATATTTATATAGTGAATAAATGTTATAACTTATTTATTTATATGTTTGTTATTTTATTAAATTATTAATTAATATTTATTAAATATTTCCATTAAATTTACAAAAATCGATTATTATTTGCATAGAATTTCATATCAAAATTATCTATTATTTATTTTATATTCAACCAAAAAAATTTATTATCATTAAATTACATTATAAAATTATGATATTAATTCTATTATTAAATTGATATTTATATAGAAATAATTAAATAATAATTATTAATTTTAATTTATTTTAATTAATAATTTATTAATTTATTAAATAATTTATTAAAAATAATTTTAATATAACACTTAATTACTTAAAATTAACACAATAATATTTGAGTTAATATATTAAAAATTTTATATATAAGATATAAACAACTGTTTATTTATAATTTTGAAACAATAATGTATATGACATATTATAATTTGTGACTGTGTAATAAATATATATATATCTATATAGAATAGTAATAGTATACCGATTTGACGACAATTATTTATAAGAATAAAGAAAAATGTGGAAACGAAACAACAAGTTTACTAAAAAAATAAAAAAAAAAGAATGTATGTAGAGATAAAGAAAAAAAAATTTTTTTTTTCACATTGATTTTAAGGATATTTTCATCATCATCTGTCAAGAATATTATACTCTCTATATACATATATACTATATATATGGAGATATGCAGTATATAAGCTAGTATATCTAGTAAATTGATATATACTCGTATATACCATATAATCGGTATAAAAATGGCATGTTAAAAAATAATTATAATATTAGTTATGATAAATTTTAAAACTTATATTCATAAATATATCCTTAAAGCTTTTCTCTTATTCTTTTACTCATCGGATTGGAATTTTTTATAATTGTATCAAAAAAAGGAAAAATTTTTTTTCTCTAAAATGATTTCGATAGAATATGCGCACTCTTAACAAAATCTTATAACTCAAAAATTTTCAATGTGTTCGAATCGATGTGTTTTTGTTGTTTTTATTTATTTATTTTCTAATTTAACGAAATATATTATACATGCATATTTACATACATACATACATATTTAATATTTGTTATGTGTGTTTAGTTAAATAGGAAAATTTTTGTGATATAATTTTTCATTTATTTTTAATATTTTGTTTTTATTTGGAAGGAAAGAAAATAATAAGAAAAGAAAATAAGAAAAGCTTTTTTTTTCATTTTATTTTTGTTGTTTTTGCTTTTTGTATTTCCAAGAAGTAAGAACCGTAATACACATTATACAGTTATGAAAAGAAGGTTATTTTATAAAAAACGTACAAATTCAGCCATATTGTGTGTCGTGAAATAAAATTAAAGAAAAAAGAAAATTTTTTCTTTGTGATTAAAAAGAGTTTTGCAACAAATACAAAAAAATAAAATCAAATTTTATTTTCTTGAAAATTTTTTAACTCAATATTTTTTTAATAAAATTCTTGTATAAAAAAACAAGAAAAAAAAGTGGAAAGCAAATTATGAAATAATGAAAATTAATTCTAAAAAAATTATTAATAATTTTTTACAGGAAATTATTGGCAATATTAGAAAAAAAAAGTTATAGTTAATAAAATTATTTTTGTGTAAAAAGTTTTTTTTTTTTTGGATTTGTAAAAATCAAAGAAAGAATTGAAAAAAATTGAAAATTTTTCCATTAAAAAATTATTTAATAAAAATTTTTTTCTTAACATTGTATGTATTTATGTATATATAAAGGTATATATATATATGTATATACATATTTTCGATTAAAAATATCTTATAAAATCGATATATTGGAAACCTAAAAATATATTTATAAAGTATAAAGGATCATCTCCTATTATTTATCATATTATATTACACTGAGAAAAAAAAATCTTATTTTGGATTATACTTGAAAGAAAACCGAAAACTATATAGGTATTAAACTTTACATTTAAAAATTATATCTGCATAAATATACATACATATATATATATATATATATTGGAAATATTAAAAAATTAAAAGTGGTTAATCATCGTATTTAACAAGGATTAAATAACTTTTCTAATTTTAATCTACATACGCATACATACAAGTTAAATAATTTTTATTCTCTTGTTCAATTTAAAAGGTAAATATAATATTTTAAATCATTTTCATAATTTTATTATTATTAAAACATTTTTTGTTACAACAAAAAAATTTTGTAAAATAACATATAGGTATTAAAAATATATTTTGATAAAACTAATGTTACATTATACTTAAATAAAATATAACGGAAAAAGAAAAAAAAATCTATTTTTCTCACACCCATATTCTTTCGGGACATTTTTATTAAAACGATGATGACTCATTCAGATTGTATATATAAGAAAAAAAAAAAATAACAAAAAGAGATAAACACGAAAAACTAAAAGGAAAAAAGATTAAAACTCTTGAATTATAAAAGCTCTATTTCGTATAACGGTATAATACATATATACATATATACATATATCTATATATTTTTGAATATAATATTGTCTACACTCAGTTCAAATTGTATATTTATGCACATGTTTCATATACATACAATGTCTGTATAATAATATTTAGATAGATTTCAAATATATATAGGATTTGAAATTATAACATATATTTTCTGAAGTATGGCTATAATATAATAATATACCTAAGTATACATATTTTTATATACATACATATATTATATAAGGATACTTAAGTATATACAGATTCAAAAAAATTTACTTGTGCATCTATATATGTATACATTTCAGAATAATATTATATAAATTGCAAATTCACATTAATGTATTCTATAATCTGCATACATATTATATCAATTGACGTATTTATTATACTCGTAAGTATATTAATATACATACCTATTTAATTATTATGATAACATTAAATATAATAATTAATCGATAACTCTTATAATAAACAAAATATACTTGAATGATACAATTAAAATCTTCATTATTCTTTATTGAATTTGAATTTAAAAAAAAATTTAAAAATTTATAATACTTCTTTGATTATAAAATGGTAAAATTTTAATTTGTTTCACCAAATAACTAATAATTATAATAATTTTTAATATTATTTGTAAATAATTTATTTATTATTAAATCCTAATTGTTATAAAAGGTATTTAATTAGCTAGACTCAATTAACTAGACGCTCTTAAGCCAGTTAAAGTATTATAAACCGGTTCAAAAGAGATAAAGTAAAAGTTCTTTGTTAATTTTCACAATATAGAACAATTTTTTTAACTTGTGTTATACGAACAGTATATAAGTCGATAATTATGTTTTAATAATAATGAAAATGGAACAAATTCATTATTATTCGCTTAATTTTTTTTAATTCCCTTTACATAATATTATTCTATGTACTTATATACATCAAGCGTATAATTATCTTGTACATTATCAAATTTTAATTTATATAATAAAAAAAAACATGTTATATAATTTGGTACGTCATAATTTGCATGTTTAAGTTTAATTATATTGATTCAATTTATAATATTATAATATTATAATATTACATAGTATACCTAACTCATTGCTTAGTATGGATATAAAGAAAGAAAGAACACATTTTGAATATTTATCGTATATTGTTTATATGCTCGTATGATAAAGGGTATTTTCTTTCTTGTTTGAATTCACATTATTTTTTTTGACACTTTATACGTCATTCGTTACAGTTGTCAACCTCAAATTGAATAATTTTATTTTGTCAATTTATTATGGAGCGTCTGCTTTCGAAAGAACACTTTTAAATTATTAATATTTTTTCGTTAATTAACAGTATGATCGATAAACAATTAATTTCAAGTTTTGAATGTGTCTATCAGTCGTTGAAATTCTACGATTCAACTCCTCTAAATTATTAAATTAACATAAGAAATTTCTTTTTTACATACAAAAATCATACGAAATTTTATTGCAATTTCGAAAAACATAATATTGATCATACATAATTGATGATATTCCAAATAAAACGCTCTAAAAAATAGGCTCTAAAAAATATTTGTTGCATGGAATAAATCAACTTTAAAAAAACACATAACTGTGACCAAAATTTACATTAAATGATAACTAGGAAAATAATTGGTTGTACAATGGATTTATCATATCTTATATAAATTAGAATTGCATGAAAGTTAAAAAAATTTTCAATGTGTTTTTATTTCAGTTTCACTTTAACCGATTAAAGAATCACCCATTACATATATTATTTGCAAAAAAAAACATAGAAAATCCTTTTAATTTTCAGTTTTTATACAATATCAAGTATTATAACCTCATTATTTTACTTTTTATATAATTTTAACATAATAAAAATAATAATAATTGTATATCATAATATATACTTGAAAGTAGATTAAAAATATTCTATTATATGTACATTACTATAGAATAGTATAACTTTTAACATTATAATTGCATCCTATATGTTATCAGTGTAACTGCAAGAGGATGATGAAGCAGAAATTTTAATGAAAAATTACTTTTCTTCTTTTTTTTTTTCAATTGAAGATATAAGGCTTAACTATTTTTTATAAACATAATTGCACTTAAGGAAAAATGTTTTAAAATCTTATGTCTGTATGTGTTCACATAATTCATATAGCTATACATTATATGTGTAACCAATGCTCTTGTTACATGAGGAGAATGGCAATTATTCTACTGTTAATTTGAGTTGGTTCACTTTAATAAACATTTTTGGTTTCGGTTTTTTTCTTTTTAGTTTATTGAAGTTAAATTTTATATTATTTTTATTTATATATTTTCTATTTATAATTATATGTTTGATTCCGAAATTAATTATAAATATTGAAATTATAAAGTAGGTTTTATTTAAAGAATAAAAAGATATTTTGTACTTTTTGTCATACAAGATTTTTAATTTATGCAAAATTGCAATATAAAGTTTTTATTTTGAATTACTTAAATTGAAAAATTTTAATTAAATATTTTCTTCCATATACAAAAAAGGATTAATAAATAACTTATTAGATTCTTCCCACTTTTCTAAAAACAAAAAAAAAGGTCATTACCTCTTATCTCTCTCTCACCCGTACAATTCATCCCCCCTGAAGTTATCGAGTTTCGGAATTCGTCAAATTTGAATTTTCCAAATTGGATCATTATAATAACGCCTTTTTAAATTTTGTTTTGTATCATCTTAAATATATGCAATCTTTTGAAATATTTTAGTATATGAATGAAAGTATTTTAAAATAATTCTTAAAGGAAAAAGTGCTCTCTTAAAAACAATATTGTTTTGTTTCAATTTTATGCATGTTGCCATTGTACGAGTACCTGCGTAATAGCACGTTCGGCTGAATAAAAATTATAAAATAAAAATTGCATATTTTTGGGCGTTATTTTCTTTATTTCTATTTAATTATGTTGTTACGGAAATGAATTTTTTTTTCTTCTTTTTCTTTTAAAATTTCAACTTTTAATGGAAGTAAAAGTACTTAATATTATGTTTGCATATTCATATTATTCAACATTACTTTGCCTGTTATGTGTTCATATATGTATGTATGTTATACATGGACGTAGCAAATGTGAATAAAATTGCCCAATCGATTTGATTTTCAAAAATTTTTTAAACCCAAATTAAAATAAGTAATTTTCTTTGCATACGTTAGATCTTGTTTTTTTTTTAAATTGGACTCTTGAAAATTTAATATAAGACTGTCAATAAATACTTACATATACTTGATTTAGAAATTTATACAAATTTAAAAATTTTTCATTGTTGTATTCTATATCTAAAGAAAATCCTTTTAAAATATTATTCGACTATTTGCAATGTAATAAAATTTTAAATAAAAAATAGCAATAAGAAATGAATCATGGAAGAATTGAAATAGAAGAAATTTCAACAAATTACATATTTCATATTTTACAATGTAGCATTTTATTTTATAATAATAATAATAAAAATAATATTAAAAAAAATTAGCTCAAAAGAAAAGGACGTGCAATTTTTTAATATAAAATATTAAACATTATAGTATAAGAAAAAGTAGAAAAACGAAAAATAAAATACCCAAAGAGTCGCCAATATTTTAATATATTCTCTTTTTTTATTTATTTAACAAGATGATTCATTCTGATATTTGATATAGATTGCTTAAAAAATTTTTTAAGGGTAAATAAAGAATCAATTTGGCAACAAATAGATTTGAGACATTCGTAGACATTGCATGTACACATTTCTTTACACATACACATACACAAATATATATATGTAAATATTTTATTTTCAAATATTTTTTATTTTCTTTAATAGTTTTAAATGATACCATAAAAATTCTTTTCATTATAAGGTTCCATATATAATATATCAGAATATAGACATGTATTGTAGGTATAAAAGTTGAAAAAGAAAAGGCGAAGTAAAATCAATTTATGTATAAGAAGGGAAAAGAATAGTTAATTTTGAAGTTGAAACAAGCATAAAAACCGGCGTAATTAATGAATCAAAAAATAAATAATCTTTTTTTTATTGAACGAATTTAAGTTTTTTAAGTTAAATTTTAATTTGCTTCTACAATTACAATTACCGTCAACCACATACAAAAACAAGTTGCCAGAACAATTCAAAAAAATTTATAGCTGAAATTTCTTTCATTATACCAAACTTAAAAAAATAAAGAATAATTATAAATATTAAACTTATTGAGGTTTCGTTAAAAATAAAAAACTAGAGTTAAAATCAGAAATCAACTTCCCGGTCAGGCAAAAGAGATGATAGATAAGTTCTGGAAAAATTTTTAAATTCTTTATGTATTTTTTTTATATATTTTTATACTTGCCAGTATAGTTTTTGTTAATATCTTATAATTTTGTTATAATTAATGATTATAATTTAAAAATATATTAAGAATTTTTAAAAGATAAAATTAACATAGAGGTGAAATAATTAATTAATAAACTCTCTTCTGAGAAAACTGTACTAGGAACTATTGTAAAAAAAATAAATTAAAATAAATAATAAACTGGAATATTTGAAAAATTTTAACAAAATAGTAATAAAATTTTGAATATGTGTATATGTGTATGTAAAGTTAGAAAATTGTGGTAAAGAGATTGTTGCAAAAAGGTTTCATTATACAATTTTTCGTTTTTTATTATAATCATATAAGTTTCATTGCAATTATATTAAAAAAGCCTTTGTAGGATTTTTTTAAAACCACAGTTTATATGTACATATTTATATGGAAACAAATTGCAAACCAAGAAAAAAAATATTTAAAATAAAACGTAAGTTTCAGATTTCTATTTTGAAAACTTGTACGATACGTAAATATTATATTATTTTTAAATAAGTTAGGGTAAAATTCAAACAGTTTATTCAACAACAACTATATTTTCATACTTTCACACTGAATTCTCTAACTTTGACGTCGATGATCACCGAATTTATGTTTAGCTTGAAAATGAAATCTTTTAAAAGTATTAAGCGTTTCATTTGAATAATATTATTGTTGTTGAGTCAGTAAAGTGGATTGATTAAGCTTTTAAAAAATGCTAATCTCTAATACATACACTATTTTTTAATGTAAAGATGTCATTCTAAAGATGTCTTCTGTCGTTTATATTTTGCTTAGAAAATAGTTTTAATTGGAAATGTTAAAAATTATTTAAAATACCTATACTATTTTAGAAAATTTTCTAAACCATAATTAACAATTTTTATTTGTTAGAAGTCACCATTATTACACTAATATTTATAAATATGTATAAATATGTGTCTATATATATTTTAACAATTATCTACATAAGTATAATTATATACGTATTAAATATTCTGAGTCATAATACAGTATGTACGTATACATATTCTGTATTATATATATCTACTTTTATTGCTTTTGATTATTTGGTATTGCGTGAGTGGGCAAAAATACTCACAAACTGACGGAATTTTGAAATTTTAGTGGGTTGATAATTTTGTGTGCTATTGTATATGTCTTTCTCTTAATGGGTTTTCCAATTAGAATGTATTATGTATTTGTATATAATTTATGTTTTATATAATTATAATAATATAAAAAATAATATATATAAGTAAACATTTATGTATGTATATATTAATATAATTAAATACATCCATAAAGTTTTCAATACACAATATTGCAAAAAACAATGCAAGAGAAACAAAATTTTCTCCAAGTCTTGCAAATAATTGAGAAAGTAGCGAAATATAAGCCTATGTTAAACAGAAACTAAAAGTCTATGTTAAATAAAAACTAAAATCCTTCATTTATTGTATTGATAAATTTTTGTACGGCTAATTAAACAGGATACTTTAGAGTAGATCATTTAAAATCAACTATAAAAACCTGTCTCCGAAAAAAACTTACAAATTTTTTGTTTTTGAAGACAATACAATAATTTAATAACATATAAATTCTTAAAAATTTTTAAACATTGTATATTATACAAATTTAATAATGTAAAATAATAAAACGATTTTCATTCTTTTATAACACTTCTGGATATTTAGAACATTTCTTTACACATGTTAAATATAGAATTTTTAACAAAATAAAGCATCTGAAAGTTCTCATATTTTGCTTTTTAATTAATCCAACTTTTCTAACTTTCATATGGTATTATAGTAATTTTTTAATTAATCAGCCCTGTAACCTTGCAAAAAAACTTGCGAAAAAAAACTTTATTAAGTTTAAGGTCAAAATTTTTCAACACTATAAAAATAACTACTTTAAAAGTGTATACAAATTAAGTATGAATATAAAATAATTATAATAGAATACAAATATAAAAAATATAAAATAAATTTTTGAATTAAAATGTGAAAATGTGCAAAAATTGTCTTCACAAATTGAGAAATATTTATATTTGCACTACTTCCAGTAATTTCTAAAATATTTTACAAAAGTTCTTCTTCAAATATTTTGAGATTTCAAAAAGTTAAATTTGAAATGAATATTTTAAGTTATACAATATGTATAATCTTCCAAATTATATTTTGTCTCATCAGAAAATCGAATCAACGAATTTTTCAATAAGTATAATTAATTAAATAATAATAGTAATAAGAGTTGAAATTTTTTAAGAAAAAAATAATATCAATAAAAATTTAAAATAAATCTTATTTTTTAATTTCAGAAATATTTTAAAAAGGCCTAGGGCCTCTCGCCGTCATGTCGTCTGTTAAAGTGGCGGTCCGAGTGCGACCCTTTAACAGTCGAGAAATATCTCGAGAATCAAAATGCATTATTGAAATGAGCGGTGGTACAACAACAGGTGAATTCCAAAGAGTTATTTCCTTTAATTATTATCTTTATAATAATTATGTTTTCTATATTTAGCAATTACAAATCCAAAAGTACCTCCAAATTCAAATGAAGCTGTTAAACGATTTAATTTTGATTACTCCTATTGGTCACATGATGTAAATATTATATTACAGTCTCTTATAAGTAATGAATTACCATTGATTTATATATTATATTTTTTTTAGCCTCGAGATTCAGAATTTTCAACTCAGGCAATGGTTTATCGTGATATTGGTGAAGAAATGCTTCAGCATTCTTTTGATGGTTATAATGTTTGTATATTTGCGTATGGTCAGACAGGTGCTGGTAAATCCTATACTATGATGGGAAAACAAGAAGAGGGTCAGGAAGGGATTATTCCTATGATATGTAAAGATTTATTTGGTCGAATACATGATACAGAAAGCGAAGAATTAAAATATTCGGTAACTATGTTATAAAAAAAACCTTTCATGAGAAGGCCATCAGAAAGATACCGTGTTGTGTACAAAATAATAAAACTTGTCTTATTGTTCTATAGGTTGAAGTTTCATATATGGAAATTTATTGTGAAAGAGTTCGTGATTTATTAAATCCTAAAAATAAAGGAAATTTAAGAGTACGAGAACATCCATGTTTGGGACCATACGTTGAAGATTTGTCAAAATTAGCTGTAACATCTTACGAAGATATTCATGATTTAATTGACGAAGGAAATAAAGCTAGGTATTATAAATAGAATTATAATAAAATATTTTTTGTTACAATTTAAAAAATAATTACAATAAATTTTTTTAACTTTGATTTTTAGAACTGTAGCTGCAACAAACATGAATGAAACAAGTTCACGTTCTCATGCTGTATTTACAATATTTTTTACACAACGTCGGCATGATAAAATGACAGATTTGTGTGCTGAAAAAGTTTCAAAAATAAGTTTAGTTGATTTAGCGGGCTCTGAAAGAGCCGATTCAACTGGTGCTAAAGGTACAAGATTAAAAGAAGGCGCTAATATCAATAAATCTTTAACAACATTGGGAAAAGTTATATCTGCACTTGCTGAAATTGTAAGATTTGTTTTAGAGCTTAGATTTTTTATGTTTTCATACATACTTATATTATTTATTTTATTTATTATTGTCAAATTTATTATTTCGTACAATATATGTATTTCTTGCTATTTTCCACTCTAAATAAAAAAATAATTAAAAATAATCGAAAAATTATTTATTCAAATACATATTAATTTTATTAACACTTCTTTTTGTTATTGTAGACATATTCATATTATATTTTATTTTTTAAAAAATTATATTTAGTAATAAGTATGTTAAATATTAAGTAACAAAAAATTAATTATGTAAACAATCAATTAATTATGCAATATACAAAAGTCTAAAATATTGTTATTTTAACGTTTTGTTATTGCCTCTAATTTAATTAAAATATCTCTAGTATAATCTAAATATTTGAATTATTATGTTGTTGTAGAGTTGTATAAAAACAATATTATTTAAAGTTAAAGAAATTGCACACACGACACTTACTGATTTTAATAAATAATAATTACGTTTTACTTTCATAAATTTGTATTAAATAACTAAATAAACAAATTTAAAGTTTGTATTAGATTTATCAATACGTAAGATACTTTAATATTTTGAAACTTTGTTCGGAAATTAAGATTATGTATAATGCGTTATTATGTATTATGCGTATATACGAACAGATGGTGTACTTAAAAATTTTGAATCTCTAAATTGAAATATAAATAAATTTATTTTCCAAATACAGTATATAAAATAAATTATACAACTCTTCCTCTTCAAATTTTGTTACAAATTGCATTTAAAATGTATAGATCTTATTGTTACTTACTATTTTCGAACGTATTTATACACTTATTAATTTCATTTTTTATTCATTACTTTTTATTTAACTTTATATTTTCTTTTGTTTACATTTTTAAATATTTTTATTGCTAGATTAAAAATTGAGCAAAATTTAACTAAAAATTGCCTCTATATCATTTTGCATTTCTTTAAAAAAATTGTCATACCAAAAATATATAAAATATATATATTTGGATTTTCATCATAATTTCATTTGAAATACAAAAAAAACTCAAATCGAATACAATATAGTCTGTAAGTATTGCAAGCCTTTTGAAAATAATAAATAATATTATGTATTTAATTTTATGATTTTATTTTAAAAATTTATTTTAGAATGATGAACGCCAAAACATTTTATTTTATTACAATGAATTTACAATTTTAAATAAATTTGAATTTATAATTTGTTAAAATTAATATTTACACAATAAATAAGTTTTACCCGCACGAAAAAGTATGCCAAAAATATAAAACAAAATCATGTAGATTAAATAATTTCACATTCACGGTACATGTTAAATTTTCATTCATGTTTTTGCTCGGTTCAGCAAAAGTTTATTATTTAAATTTCGGCGAATACATTTTTTGAAAAAATTTTTTCACTTAATTTTTTTGCACAGGCATGTAAATAAAATTTCAAAAAAATGTCCCCTATTCTAATAATATTTTATAAATTATTCTTTAGATTTTAAAAATATTGAATTCCTAATTATTTAATTCCTCATAATTGAATTTTATAATTGATAAATGACAAATATTGCTCTTCGATATTGATATTTAATTTACCAACTTGCATTTCATGGAAAACGTTATAAAATCATCTAAGTATTTTAGTGATTTTATTTATGAAAATTCTTATAAAAGTGCATTTTATACATACAAAAATATGAATTTAAAATTCTTTTTATTTTAATTTTTCAATTAAATAAAATAAAATAATAATGTTCCTTTTGTTTGTTTGAAATCCTCATAAGAGAATTAAATATAGTTTTCCATTACTAAAAATTTATCCACCAAATAAAATTCAACTTTAAGTTATTTTTCAATTGTCCTGTATTTTTATTTTTAATATAAATTATGTGTTTATTTTTTGAATTTTTGATAATTTAATTGAAATTAATTTTTTTTTAGGCTTCAAAATCTAAAAAATCAAAAAAAACTGATTTTATTCCATATCGTGATTCGGTCTTAACATGGTTACTTAGAGAAAATCTTGGTGGTAATTCAAAAACTGCTATGATTGCAGCAATATCTCCAGCTGATATTAATTATGATGAAACTTTAAGCACTTTAAGGTTAGTAAAAAGAAATTTTTATAACGAGGAATCGAAAAAGCAAAAATAAAAAAAGCTCAATGAATAGGAGCTGTGCTCTATTTTATACTCTCAGTTAAGAGTAATTACAGAAGAGTAATTTGTTAATTTAAAATAACGTACAATTTTGTTGTCAATTAGTGTAAATTCGTTATTGGATACTCTATACATAAATTAATTTGCTCGCACGCAGGTTTTATTTCTGAAAATATACATAAATAAGTGTTGATAGGTTTAATATTATAGATACATATGAATTGTAGAAATATGTAAAAAAAAAACCAATTTTCAGTAATTTAATAACTTAATAATTTTTAGATATGCTGATCGTGCTAAACAAATTGTTTGTAAAGCTATTGTTAATGAAGATGCAAATGCTAAACTTATTCGTGAATTGAAAGAAGAAATTCAAAAACTGCGAGAACTTTTACGAGCTGAAGGCATTGAAATCCAGGAAGGTAATGTTTAAAAAATAAAAACAAATTACATATTTGTATAAATATATATAAGAACATATGTAGTTTTTTTGTTACTATACTATTATTTTTATTTGTTTTTAATTTGTTTAAGGAATTGGTAAATTTTTCCGCATGTATTCATAATTTTTTGTTCAGTTTTTTTAGCAGGTCCCCTTGTTTTTTTAGAAAAGTTAAAAAATATTTGATTTTTTCTTTTCCTTATTTTCGTATTTTACTTTTTTTGTTATGTTTTAATTAAATAGTCTGTTCAACTAAAATTAATTAAAAATTTTAATAAAACATCACATTATTATAATTATTATTAAGAACTATAAATGTAATTATAACAAAAACTAAAGAAAAAAAAATACGTAAAAAACCATAATATATCATTAGATGAGTGAATTTTTATAATTTTTATGTAGGGCCCGATGGTAAAGTGGTTTGTGAGAAACGAGATCCAAATAGTAAGTAATTAAGAAAAAATGAAATACAACCGAAAAAAAAAACAAGAAATCTTCACTTTCAAAAAATATTATGTTCCCTAAAAAAATATTGATGAAATTAATTATAATATAATTATTTATATATGTTGGCAATTTTAATGCTTTATGCGAAATAATAAATATAATTTATTCAATTAAATTTTTTAATACGCTTAAAGAAAATCGTAAAATTTTTCAAAAAAAAAAAAAACGTGAAAATGTAAATCACTAAACCACTATTATTGGAAAGCTTTCTTTTTTTTAATTTTTTGTTTTATTATTAATTAATAACAATATAATATACCTACCTACATGATGTATATTTTTTATAATAAAGTATTTACTTAAAATATTTTTTCGTATAATCAAAAGTATATTTTTTGCTTGTAAAATAATGGCCGTTCCTCATTATATCAAAAATTTGATGATCATGTCAATCACGTCATTCGCTTGATTTTGTAAATGAAAATCAACTACAATTAAGGAATATTCTCAATTGAAATTTTAAAAATTATCTCAATAAAACGGAAAATTTAAAATATTTTCCTCGGCATTCATTTTGTCGTACATAAAAATTACTTATGCATCGCCCATTAAAGAAATACAAAAAAAAAACTGAAATAATAGTCAACTGCATTTATAACGTGTATTAGAATTTACGACCCGTACGTCATGTCGCGCTGGAATTCTTTACTATCGTCAGTTGCACGTATTTGATTTACTGGGAAACGGTCTAATTAATATAAGAGAATTTTTGATCACCAATTCAGCAAAAAATTGAATTTCATAGATGTTAGAAATTTAAATTTTATAAAAATCAAGAAAAAAGTATTAAAATCATTAAAAATTATAATATTACAAATCCAAATTTTTTGCTGAATTTTATATGGTTTAATTGTATGTAAATTAACAATGAAAAATACCTCTTGCATGTTAAACATAAATAAAATAATATATTGCATTATTATTTTTATTCTGCATAAATATTCAACTGATATCTATATAAATAAATAATATTGAAAATTGATATTTTCAATTATACTTTGTATTATATTGCTTATATTTTTAAAAAAATGCAACTTAGCAGTTTGTTACATGAAATTTCAACTAGTGTCTCAACTACTTAACAAAAATGTATAATTTAATCAAGGATTTGACTCTTCAAAATAATTTTTTTTGAAAATCCCTTCTTAAATCAGGTATATAAAATAATTTAATGCGTTTCAAAGAACAAAAACTTTCATTTTACAACTATTTGAATTAAAATTATATTCGTATTGAGAGAATATAGACCAGACCTGCTTAACCTTTTTGTTTCGAGGTCAATCAGTTGTTAGTTATACAAAAGTATGATTTCAAATTTTTCGACTGTGACAAAACGCAAATCAAGCAAACATTTTTTGTCAATTTGCAAAAAAAATATTCAGAAACGGTTTTTTTTTCAGAAAATCAAATATTTTCAGTTTTTAGTTATAGATCGACTGTAATTTCGTATGACTGGTACATAGCGATCATCTGATTGGGCAGACGTGACATAGACTGCCAGTATAATACTATAAATATTTATGAAAAAAAATATATCAATTTTCTTTAATAATGTCGAGGTTGATAATTGTTTTAAAGACTTTATTAAAAACAAGTAAAATAAGGCTGAAGAAAAATTTATATTGCTATTATTTAATAAATTTTAAATTTGAAATAAAAAAAACCTGTTAACAATAGTCAGAAAATTTATTAATTATGAACTCAAATAACTTTTTATTCCCTTTTTATTAAAAGGATAATTTTTGTAATTATTGTTTAAAAGCCTAATTAATTATTATCCAATTAGACTAATTTTGAAAAGATTGAATTTTCAAATAGACGAGCATTCCTAATCGTGGATTTGCGTCTGTTTAACAGCAATTAACAATAACAGCACTTCTACAAATTCAGTGAAAAAACTTTGTTCTATGTAAAAAGTATAGAAAAAATGTAAATATTTGATATATTGTTAAGTTATTTGAATTCCACTACTAATCTTGACTATTGTATAGTATAAAAACAATGTTGAATGTGCCATGTTAAATTTTTTTGAGTTTTGTCATATTTTATAAAATGTATTTTGTAAAGCCTAGTAAATTTTGTTGATTTTTTGCAATGTATTATTAAAAATGAAATAAAAATAAAATATTTCAGTTGAAATTTTGTTTTAACTTTATAGAAGATGAAGAAAATAATGCAATTAACAAAGGAAATGGTCAAAAAATTACATCACCAACAAAAAGCCGGAATCGCAATGGCTCAACAACGGAAATGGCAGTAGATCAACTACAAGCCAGCGAAAAATTAATAGCAGGTATTTTACACAAAAAATATATACATATGTACATGCTACATCATATGTATTGTTTAACAACAAAATCATGTATTTTATCTTTTTAATTAAATTTTTTTTGTTTCCAGAATTAAATGAAACTTGGGAAGAAAAGTTAAAACGCACTGAAGAAATTCGGCTACAACGTGAAGCGGTATTTGCTGAAATGGGTGTTGCTGTTAAAGAGGATGGTATCACTGTAGGAGTATTTTCCCCAAAAAAAACGCCACATTTGGTTAATTTAAATGAAGATCCGAATCTATCAGAATGCCTACTTTATTATATTAAAGACGGTAATACGTTAGATGGTAAATAAATTAAATTTTAAATAGTAAAATATTTACATTTGAAGGATTAACACGTTTGGGAACCCATGAAGCAAATGTTCCACAAGATATTCAATTATCTGGCTCACACATATTAAAAGAACACTGTACATTTGAAAATCGTAATAATGTTGTAACATTAATACCACACAAAGATGCTCTGGTATATTTGAATGGTAGAAAACTTACAGAACCGGAAGTTTTGATGACTGGATCTCGTGTTATTTTGGGGAAAAATCATGTATTTCGTTTTCAACATCCAGAACAAGCACGAGAAATACGTGACAAAATGACAAATGAGAATGCTGAGGATCTTGAGGTATCTGAAACCCCTGACTGGAATTTCGCTAAATGTGAGTTATTAGAAAAGCAAGGTATCGATTTAAAAGCCGAAATGCAAAAACGGTTAGACGCTCTCGAAGAGCAATTTAAGAGAGAAAAATTGCAAGCCGATCAAGAATTTGAAGAACAAAGAAAGGTAAATAGTTTAAGAAAAATTTTGAAAAAGCACTAATTAACGTTTTCTTTTGTAATTTTAGTCGTATGAAGCTCGTATTGATGCTCTTCAAAAGCAAGTTGAAGAACAATCAATGACAATGTCGATGTATAGTAGTTATAGTCCTGAAGATTTTCATCAGGAAGAAGACATTTTTGGTAAATATAATTTGTACAAAATTTTTTTTTTTAATTCTAATGTCAAATATTAACAAAGTTTTTTTTACATCAAAAATTATGAAAAAAAAATTTTACGCGACCCTGCCAGGAGTCGAACCTGGAATCTTCTGATCCGTAGTCAGACGCGTTATCCATTGCGCCACAGGGCCATGTCATAAATTGCGGCAGAAAACAAATATAATCATAGAAAGAATAATAGGGAAATTGAGTACAAAACAAAAGTAAATTAATATCTACATATTTAAAAATATACACATATTTTTTATATCAAAATTATTTACTAATATCCCTTTTAAAATTGCATTATAATATGTCTTAAATTGCTTTATAATAATCCTGAGGATAAATATTGCTATTGCAATTAATATCATGTAATTAAAATAAATTTAAAATTTCTAAAATCGTAAAAATGTAACTCTTCATTCTCCATTAGTACATATTCGTGATAAAATTGAATGCATAATATGTTTTCCGTTGACCGGTGTGAATGAAAGTTGCTATCACAATTTTTCATTCCATACTAATAATTTTTTGATATTAAAACAGTCACTTAGTTATTAATTGTTGTTCAAGAAATTTGATTTCCAAAACATTTAAAACATAAAAAAAAAAACCATATGCCGACCCTGCCAGGAGTCGAACCTGGAATCTTCTGATCCGTAGTCAGACGCGTTATCCATTGCGCCACAGGGCCAATATAAACATTGCTTGCAGAAAAGAAGTTTTCCCATCGCGGATACTTCGCTAAATTTCCAAATTTTGTATAGGTATTGTTTGTGTTTTTTTCTTAATTAGAAATATGTGCAACTTCTTTTTTTAGCATACATACTTATAAATCAAAGTATATTAGGGATGGTTATCAGAAATATGTTTATGATCTGTCTATAATGACAGACTAAGTAAAATATTACATGAAATAATATCAGCTTTTTTCCGTGGTATTTATCTTATAATTGTGTTTGCTTTGTAATAATAATTACATATTTAGCAACCAAATTCTTTTTAAAAATAAAAAAAAAATATAGAAATCGCGACCCTGCCAGGAGTCGAACCTGGAATCTTCTGATCCGTAGTCAGACGCGTTATCCATTGCGCCACAGGGCCCATATCCAAATTGTGGCAAAATCAGTATTTCATCATAAGCCTTTTGAGTCATAAATGAAATCAAATCTAATATTCAATTGTTTATTTATATTTTAAGTTAATCCACTATTTGAATCATGTTGGACTGCTCGTGAAACTGGACTTGCTGCTTGGGCATTTAGAAAATGGAGATACCATCAATTTACATCACTACGAGATGATTTGTGGGGTAATGCTATATTCTTAAAAGAAGCTAATGCAATTTCAGTTGAATTAAAGAAAAAGGTAATTGACCAATAACTTCCACAATTATATAATTTTCTGCATGTACGTACATATGTACTGATTATATCTTAACCATATATGATTTTTAAATAAGAGTTATTCATCGATGCATATTATGTTCAAAGAAAAATACGCCGAAACTAAAAGGAAAATTTTTTTAGGTTCAGTTCCAATTTACTTTGCTAACTGATACATTATACTCTCCGCTTCCACCAGAACTAGCTCCAATTGCTATTCCAAATGAAGATGTATTTGGTGTAGCCCCAATTTCGAAAACTATTGTAGCAGTTGAAGTAACAGATACTAAAAATGGAGCTACACATTATTGGACATTAGAGAAGCTTCGGTAAGAATCCAACAAATCACTATTTGATTTTATAAACAGTTTTTGGATGTTAGAAATTCTATAAATTTTCATAATATTCGATTAAAATTAGTTTTTATTAAAAGTTAAAATGATTTATAGTTTATGTTAAATTATTTTGAGAAACATAATCTACATACATATTTGATTTAATTTTTTTTTTTAAGAAAAATTTAAATAATTGTAATTTTTTAACACTACACTTATGATTTTATAAATTTAAAATTACACCAAGATTACAAAAAAAAAGAAATCCTCAAAGGCATTAAAAGAATTTTAATAGTTTTTTCTTTGGCTTGTATAGATAATGTGAATATGGTGATAGAGTTAATTTTTTTTAAGTTTTATTATAGTTATATTTACATTATTTTGAAAAAAAAAATCGAAATTTATTAGTATTTACCGACGTTCAGTACTTTATTTCATTATTTATTTAGTTTTTATGTTTTTCATACAGTCCTTTCAATTATTTTATTCGATAGAACACAAATATTGGCTCTGCAGGATTTGGAATATGTTTTTGATATTTTATTGTTAAATTATTGTCTTCATTATATTGTTTGCCCTTATTAAATCATGCAGTATTATATTTGAGCAAGGTACATAAAAGCGTGTTTCAACTAAAATTTGGTAGACAGAATAGTTCTCAAACAATTATCAATGAGTATTAGAAAAGTACCAAAACTTAAATGTTATCGTTTAATATTTCTTATTATAAAGTTTTGCTTTTGAAACTTTTTTTAAATGTTTTTTTTTGCAATTAACAGTGATTAAATTAAATTTTGAAAATGTGAATTTCAAAACGCGTTTTAATTTTTTCTTTATTGGAATTATGTTTGTGCGAAATATTATGTAAAAAGCCTGTAGATATTTAATTTGTATTTCAAATAAATGTAACTTAAATAAATGAAATAAATTAAAAGTAATATCTTCATCATATTCATATAATTTACTATAAGAGCTTATTATAACTAAAAAGCAAAAAAAAAAAAAATAGTGAATAGTTTCCATTTAAATAAAAATAAATTAAAAAAAAAAACAGAAATCTTATATAAATTTTCCCAACAAAAATTTTAAAAACTTTAGTTATCGGCTTGAATTAATGCGATCAATATACAATGTTGAAAGTCCACCATCAACATCAGATATGGATTTGCCAAATTGTTGTTGTACCTCTTCTTCTTGTTCGTCATCTAATGGTATCATGATGATTAATTCGACAGCTTTGGGCGAAAATAATATTATTGAATCATCATCGCATTCACCATCAAAAGTAAAAAATGTTAAAATCAATTTGAATAGCACACAATCTTCTGATGGAACTTTTGTAAATAATAAAGTTGGTCTAAAACAACCAGAATTATTGCAATGTATTGCAGCGTGCGCTAATGCATCTAGACTTACTTTATCCAATCTTTTACCTTCTAGGTTTGGAATTTTTTGTTTCTTTTTTATTTTTTCTTTTCTAATTAAAAAAAATTAAAAAGGCTTTAGTCTAAACTTACTGCTAAATTATATTTTAATTTTGTTTTCGGTTTTTTGTATTCAAATTTTCAGTGTTTTTATCCATTTTGAAAATTTATTATTTTGTTTTAATTATAAATAAAAAGTAATAAGAATATAAAAAACATATTAATCATAAAAAAATGTTTACAATTAAATTTTCGCTGCAAAGTTTTCTTAAAAATTATGTAAGATCAATTTTATTAGCTGTCTATTTTTTTTTCTTAATTTGCATAATATATTATATGTTACGCTTAGACCTATGAATGTGTGCCTTTGAGGAAACAGTGTACTAAGTTATTGAACAAATAGTATTCAAGATATTTACTTACATAAGAAATTACTTTGACAAACAGGGTTATTTAAATACAAGCTTTTTAATTTTATTTCAAATTTAGAATAGAAAATCATGCAAATAAAAATTAAACTTATACTTAATTACTTTATTATGTTAGAGTAATTTCAATTTCTTCTAAAAATATCACGATAGAAGTTCTTTTTTGATCGATTATATTTTATTACGTTTTATTTTCCTACAACAACATTTCCTAACATTTCATTAAGGTTAATTATATTTTTGAATTTTTCAAATAGAACTTTGTTTAGAAAACTGCTTTTATTTTGAAATGATAGAAATATTAAAAATACAGTAATATAATTAAAATTAAAAATTTATTATTTTTGATACAGCATTCACTATTTCAAAATAATATATTTATATATTTTATTCCAAATATTCAAATTTACTAAATTGATAAGATACAAGTTTTAAATTGGCTAAAGTTTTGTTGTTTTTTAAAGAATTTTTTGGTTAGTTTTTATTGAGTTTTATTTCATCATATTTTTATGAACAAAAAATTTCTTCACTTTTAATTTATGCACATACATATATAGAAACTGATGATAATTTGAATGAGATCATTGATATTGAAATTTAACAAATATTGTTGTCATAATAAATTTATGACCAACTACAAAAGGTTTCAGAAATAACTACAGCAAAACTAATTGCAAAATCACAAAAGTATTATAATATTGTAGTAGGACTCATTTCTTCACAGTCAATTTGCTCTGTTATAAATTTATCTTAAAATCGAAATTTATCTTAAAATAAAAAATATTTTACAAATCGTTTGGTAAAAAATATTTTTATTTTATCGTAAGCAGCTTTTTACTTTATTATTTTTATTTCTTTGAACATTTATTGTAAAATTGAAAATATTTACATATGCATTTTATTTTGTTAAAAAATTATTGCTTTTGATGTAAGCGTCTATTTTTTAATTATATGTATACGTTGCAATATTTTATATAATATTTAAATTTCCCACTTTTTTAATATGTGTAAAAAAAACATTTTTTTAGACAACGCCTTGAACTAATGCGTGAAATGTATCATAATGAAGCAGAATTAAGTCCCACTTCTCCAGATTATAATGTTGAAAGTTTAACAGGTGGTGACCCATTTTATGATAGATTTCCTTGGTTTAGAATGGTTGGTAGATCATTTATATATCTCAGTAATTTATTGTATCCGGTTCCGTTAGTTCATAAAGTTGCTATTGTAAATGAACGGGGGGATGTTCGAGGATATCTTAGAATTGCAGTTCAACCAGTTATGGTAAGTAAATTAAATAAACTTTAACTTATATTATACTTTCGTAATTATAGGTTTAAATTACAGTAATGTTTTAATTTTAAATTAGTCAATCATATTAATTAATAATTTTTAGTTAAAAGTCTGTAATCCTGTTAGATTAGACACTGGAACATTAAACAAAGTTTTCAATATTAACAATTTTTGGTTTTGTCATTAAAGTTGATTTATAAAATACATAAAAAAATATGATTAATTTTACATCTTTAAAAATATATGTATTTAAATTATTTGACTCTAATTTTTCATGCATGTTAGGATGAAGAAACTCTTGATATCAATAATGGTGTCAAACAATCTGCTAGATTATTATTTGATGAAGAAACCAAACCAAAATATAGATCACTTGTTGGTAGTGAGAAGGAAGAGCGGTTCATTGAAGGGAAGTGTGAAGGTGAGTTTAGTTTGTTTTTAATTAAACAAATTTGACAAAAAAAAAAGTCGCAAGATTTCTTTTTTGTGCCTTTTCTATACATATATACGACTTTGTTGTAAATTATAAATTAAGATTTAGAACTCGAAGATGCAGATTCGGGACGTGGCGATTCAAGTGTTGCATCTGAATGCCAGGAAACAAATGAAGAACTTGGTGAGCATTTGCAAATCGGGAAAGACTTTACATTTCGAGTTACCGTACTGCAAGCAACTGGAATTGGAGCTGAATATGCAGACATATTTTGTCAATTTAAGTAAGTTTTCAAACAATTATCAAATCAAATATACCATTAACTAAACTAATTTTATATTATGGTTCAGCTTCTTACACAGGCATGAAGAAGCATTTTCAACAGAACCAGTCAAAAATTCTGGATCTGGCGCACCACTTGGATTTTATCATGTTCAAAATGTGAATATTTTGTTATATAACCTTCTTTGTTATTATATTTAAATTTATAAATACGTATTTATTTAAATTTATAAACGTACATTTCCAGATTACTGTTCCAGTAACAAAATCTTTCATTGATTACTTAAAAAGTCAACCAATAATGTTTAAAATATTCGGTCATTATCAAAATCATCCTTTGCACAAAGATGCTAAACAGGAATTTATTTCACGGCCTCCACCAAGGCGCATGTTGCCACCAAGTATACCAATAAGTCAACCAGTACGAAGCCCTAAATTTGGTCCATTACCAAGTGCTCCATCATCTACAGTATTAGCCAAGCATGACGTATTAGTATGGTTTGAAATTTGTGAACTTGCACCAAATGGAGAGTACGTTCCAGCTGTAAGTAGTAAATTATTTAATTATAAGTATTTAGTGATGGATTTACGGTTTTCATTTTATAACAAAGGTTGTTGAACACAGTGATGATTTACCGTGCCGAGGACTATTTTTATTACACCAGGGTATTCAAAGACGCATTCGTATTACAATTGTACATGAGCCAACATCTGAAGTTAAATGGAAAGATATACGAGAGCTAGTAGTTGGAAGAATTCGCATTAATCCAGAATCATCAGATGATGTTGATGATGATTCCTGTGTACTCTCCTTAGGTTTATTCCCCGGCGAAGTCTTAGATGTACCCGGAGATGACCGATCATTTTATCGTTTTGAGGCCGCGTGGGACTCAAGTTTGCATAATTCAACTCTACTAAATCGTGTAACTGGCGCTGGGGAAACCATTTATATTACTTTAAGTGCATATTTAGAGGTAAGGAATATTTAAAAAAAATCTACTGAACTTTCTGTAAAATATCAATTTTTCATTAATTAAGCTTGAAAACTGTGCAAGACCAGCTATTATTACAAAAGACTTAAGTATGGTGATATATGGCCGTGACGCTCGAACTGGGCCAAGATCATTAAAACATTTATTCTCTGGACAGTACAGGAATCCTGAAGCCAATCGATTATCGGGTGTATATGAACTATCTTTACGGAGAGCATCCGAAGCAGGTAGTCCAGGTAGAAATTCGTTAAGTAGTTACTGCTACATTTCCAATATGTTCATAATAAAAATCTGTTAGTTCGATTTGATGCTGCAATAATATTTAAAAATTTGATTCCGAATTTGATAAAAATAAATTTTGTTTGTTTGAGTTGTGCATGATATGTTTGTAATTTGTTTTGCTTTGCATTAAAATTCATGCATGTATAAAATGTATGTATATCTGCTAATCCGATTTAAATTACAGGCGTACAAAGAAGACAACGGAGAGTTCTAGATACAAGTTCAACTTATGTCAGAGGGGAAGAGAACTTGCATGGATGGAGGCCTAGGGGAGATTCTCTTATATTTGACCATCAGGTAAGTAATAATCTTTTGTTACAAATAAGACAACGCTCCGCTTATTATATTATATTAGCCCCACTTTGAGGAGAAAAGTCTTCTTTCCTTAGACTTCTTTATCTTTCCGAACATTTCAGAACTTTAATCTCTTAATTTGCTGTATCCCGTACTGTCTGGTTTTATTGTGTGTAGTTAAATTCGCAGATATTAAAAGTTGTAATACTTTTTCATTAGGAAAAATACCTTATATTGAAATCGAAAAAAAAATTATTTTAGAGAATTTTTATATTTTTTTCGAAAAAGCAGGATACATTATCCTTTCATTACATTCATTCATGTACTTCTGTGTTTAGTTTCTTACTATTCAGTTAAGCAAGAAACTAAATACAGAAACAAAACATAGCCAATTATTGAGCGAACGAAGTCACTTCAATCATTTTTATGGTTCTTGTCTAAAATAAAAGTTCTATTTATTTTTAAAATTTTCCTTTCAATTCAAAACGATAATTAACTTTCAATTGAAAATAAATTGCTAGGTTTTAATTCCATTTTTTTTTCATAATTATATAAACCGCAAAATACAACAATTTTTTTGACATGCATTTCTTTTAATGGTGTTAAAAATACACATACTTATATACTATTTTGGGCGTTTTCGCGCTTTGAAATCTGAATAGATTCAAAATTGTCAGAGCGCATAATGACATAATTCCAATTGTTAGTTCATATTGTCTAATACAAAATTTACAAAATATGATGAACATAGAAATCAATTTTGAATTTTGCAATTTCTGTTTAATTGCGGATTAGTAATAATACAAGTATAAAAATAAGCAGCTAAAAATCGCAATCAGTTTGTAAAAATTTGCAAATTGTTTAATTGCTTGATATATCATTGCACACAATCAGTTGCATTGCGTGTGTGCGCGTTTAAATATTAAACAGATAAAATATCAAAAAATTGCATTATGTACAAAAAATTTCATGTCTAACGATTTTTAATTTGTCATTAATAAGAAAGAAAAAACGCTATGAATAAACAAGTAATCATTTACATCATAATGTTGTTGTCATTTTATTCCGCAAGATGTCAGTAAAATAAACGTCTTGAAAGGTTGCAATGGTTGACTGGGTATATTGCTTTTCAATTAATTGACATTAGCTACACAAACCAGCAGTTTAAAATTTTAAAAAATTTGTACGCTTGTAATCTTGTATTGTTTTGAAAGAAAAAAATAAAAATATTTGTTGCGTGTTAAAAATATTGTATGAAAAATTAACGATTTAAAAAGATAACCCAGATAAAATGGATCCATTTGCTGAACGTATGCTTGAAAAAGCTCGACAAAGATGCAAGAATTTAGGAATCAAAACTGACTTTAATGTTTTAAGCGAATTTCAAGAAATGAGTAATTCGTTAAGTACCAACTGTGTTAATACACCAGTGAAAACTACATTGTCAACAAAAAGAAGTAAATCCGGAAATGATACCACTAATTCTCCTGAACCAAATTTGGGTAAAACATTCATATCAAACAAAGAAAATCTTGGAATTGCTATCAATGTTAGGTCAGACCATCGGATTGAAATGGTTCAAATTCAACTGCAAGATGAAAATGGTTTAGTAGAAGAAGAAACTCTGCAACCAGAAGAAGATAAAGAAAAACCGAAAATTCGTGACTGTTCACGAAATCGATTGAAACGGCTTGGTGCCCTATATTCAAATTCAGACGAAATTTCATCACCAATTCATCGTACTGAGAACCAGTTTTATGAAGAAAAAAATGATCATATTATTAAGGATATGAGCAATAAAAAAGTAACTCATAAACTAAATAAGCTAGCTGAACTAGCTAAAGAAATCAACAATTGGGAAGATGAGGATGTACAAAAAAGAACAAAAAACAATTTTAATGATCATAAGATTGAGACAACGAACGAAAGGCAAAATGAAAATGAAGTTACAAAAAAGTTAAAGTGGGACAATACTGTCATGCAAAATTTAGAAGCCCAAGGATTTCAAAGGAAGGAGAATAATTCAAATGTGTTAAGCTTTGAATATTTGGAAAAGATTGACCGTAAACAATCGAAAAATAATGAGATTGAAAACACTTCCAGTGTACAAAAAGTAATATCAAAAATTAACGCTGAAAGTAAAGGGAATACAAGTTTAACAGGATTTAATAAACCTAATCTTTGCATTAAATCAAACTACAAAGATCCTATTGATCTACCATTGAAAGAAAGAATGAAAATTTTTGAGCAAAATAAAGGTGAAGCACCTGTTCCTAAAGTGCCGTTTGGTATGAATGTGCCCGCAAAGAAAGTATGTGACGAAGCTGTAAAAGAACATAAAATGCTTAATATGAAAGTACCTCAAAACAAGCTCGAATTGAAAAATTATGAAGCAGCTTTAAACTGTAGTAAACCTGGAAAAATTGAATCTGAAATCGAACAAAAAATAAACAATATTCAGAAACACAAACATATCCAAATGGAGACAGATTTAGAAAAAAACAGAGTTGAAAATTCTATTTCGAAAAAAATAGTTCAGGGTAACTTATCGACAATTGTTTCACAGTTCGAAAACAAAATAATAAATAATGCTAATAATGAAGATGAACATCAATCAACAAAGATTAGTCCAAAAAGACTATATCCAAATTTGAGTGAATTTGAAAGCAATAATGAAACTGAAAGCGGTACTGATGGGAATGAATATTCAACAGAAATTCTTTCCGAAGAAGAGCCCGTCAGAAAATCTTTCCGGAAATCAATTGACAGTTCCATTGATGATGCACGACTATCTTTAAATACATCTTCTGATAGTTTCAATTTCGAAAAACCTCAAGTGAGGTTTGAACTACCTGAAACTAAAAGAAGTTACGTATACAACAAATCAAATAATGCTGAAAGCGATAGTAATATTAGCAATAATTCAACAAGTAGCCAAGCAACAGATAATTCTGAAGAAGTTTCCGATTATTTAAATGATGCTTTTGATGATGATGAAGATAACGAGAATGATGACAATTCATCCTTAACTACCAATACAGACTCTATTATAAAAGGGGGTAATACTGGAAACACATCTCTAAATAATAACATAAATCAATTAAAATCTCAATTAAGTGTTGAAGAATCTAAAGAAAATATGGTGACGTTAGTTCACACAATAAGTTTTTATAGAAAACAGCAAAATAACACATCAAATCCATCTACTCCAATTAGAAAAATATGTAGAGAGCAGGAAATTCGTAGAGAAATTTCTGAAGAATCTGAAACAAGTGAAAATGATGATGGAATTGATTACGATCAACGGGAGATTGAAACACGTTTAGTTAAGGAAAAAATGGCAAAACTTCGTGATGAAGTATGTAAACAGCAACAAATCATTGCACAAACAAGTCAAGCTTTAAACTTATGCGCAGCCACTATAGAATTTTCTGGTTCTACGGAAGCTGTAGAGGGTGAAAGACATTTATTAGTGGCAACGCATCGTCGCCAAGCCGCTTTAGACGAAATACAGCGTTTACGTGTTGAAGGTGTAGTAAGACCATCAGGTTCTCCTAAAGAAAGGGGACGGTTAACTGTAAAAGAAATAACAATACCTTTGAGACAAGATTACATTCGAAAACTGTCAAACGATGCAATATCTGGTCACCATCTCTTATGTTTGCTAAAGTATAATGAAACCGTATTAGCAACACAAACAGTCCCAACTTTGCCAGGCTTGCTTTCAGTGAAATTTCCAGATGTTTTAAATTTGAATGAAGTTTATGCAGATTTTCGTGTAACTCTCGAAATTTATGGTATGACCGCACAACGAGAAATATTGCCGCATGAAATTAAATATCATATTAACATTAATAAAAACAAAAATGCTCGAACGCCAAAAAAAAAGGGTTCAGATTCACGTCTTGTAATGCCGATAGTGCAGTCTCCTGCAGGTCCAAACGTTGTTCGAACACCGGCTCTTGTACAATACGGTTTTGCTATATTTTCCTTACGGGAAGTACAGAGAAATACTTGGACATTAACCAAAGTTTCTGGTGTATCTCCACTTGAAGGAACTGTACACATGAAAATCAATTGTGAGCTCTCAGTTTCAATCTCATACAAAGGTTTTTTAACTATGTTCGAAGATATATCTGGCTTTGGTGCATGGCATAGACGTTGGTGTTACTTAAACGGACATATTTTAAATTATTGGAAATATCCAGATGATGAAAAGAAATGTACTCCAATTGGTTCTATTGATTTAAATATGGCAATAACGCAAAAAATTACAACTGCCCCACGGGAAATATGTGCCAGATTAAACACAATTATGTTAGAATGCAAGACATCTTCAAAAGAGGACGCGTTGACTAGAAAATCTTCTTTAATGACTGTGACGAAAAATGATATGGTTGTTTTAAGATATTTGCTATCAGCAGATACAAAAGAAGAAAGGGATGAATGGTGTGCACATTTGAACAAAGCTTTAATGCTTCTAAGAGCATGGTCTTCAAATTAGAATTGTAATTAACATGTCGGAAGAGCATAATTTTAAAACCAAGAAAATAAGTTCATAGTCTCAATATGAAATATTGTGTTAATAATAAATAAATGTGTCTATTTTATTTTCTATTTTATAAAAAGATAATATTCAAATATATACATTTATACATACGTACTTTTGTATAATCTACTAATAAAAAAATATTTAACAATTATTTAACTTGTGTGACAATTTCAAAAATAAAATATACATACATGTTTTTTAAAAATTGTTTTTTTTTTCTCGATTATTCCGAAATTTTTAGAAACCTTAACTGTTAAAACTCGGGTATAGATTTTGAAAAAATAAGTAAATGTAAGGGAATAATTTAAAATCTAATGATAGAGAATATTTTCCCCGAATCAGAGCCATGCCCAAAAATATGACAATCAAAAAATTTACATATCAAAAATACACTTATATTTATAAATTTTCTATCTTTTAGTGGGAATTGGAAAAATTAACACGTTTAGAAGAAGTTGGAAGAGTGAAACACATACTATTATTGCGAGAGCGTCTCGGAATGGATACAAATCCAAACCCAACTACAAAAACTGAAAAAGATGTTTGTAACTTGGCTGCTAGAGCTGGTACTTCGCCAGCACATATGGTAATTCCACCCTCTCCCCAGACACCAATTAAGGAGCCTCAGTCGATATTACCAGAACGTGAATATACACAAAAGGAACAAGAATTAATGTTGAAATGCGTCAAACTAATACAAGGAAAGTGGAATAGCAAAGATGAACAAACACCACAGCAAAATGCTGACACAACGTCAATAATAACTCAAAGTGATGCATCACCTGCTGATGAAGGATGTGCTGATATGACTGCAAGTTGTTTATCTGGAAATTCAGTAGAGTGAGTTCAATTATAGAATTATATTATTACAAAAATATTTTGAAATCACTTATTTAAAATTCAGACTGTGTTCACCAGAAAGAGTTGACGCTCCAAATGGCTGGGAAGCACCAGCACCAGCTACGCAACCATCGCTTCCTTTAAGATTATATGTACCCGAACTGGAAGAAATACGTGTTAGTCCAGTTGTGGCCCGAAAAGGTTATTTAAATGTTTTAGAACATGGAGGATCTGGATGGAAAAAACGATGGGTGGTAAGTTAAAATCGATAAAACTCTAAAATTGCAGAATAAAATTTGAAATTCGTATATATTAGACTGTTCGTCGTCCATATGTTTTTATATTCCGATCGGAAAAAGATCCCGTTGAGAGAGCGGTCCTTAACTTAGCAACCGCCCAAGTTGAATGTAGTGAAGATCAAGCTGCTATGGTTAAAATTCCAAATACGTTTAGGTAATTAATTTTTTTAAATAGTTTATTTTTACTTTTATTCTAATAATATTTCAGTGTTGTAACAAAACATCGCGGTTATTTACTACAGACATTAGGAGATAAGGAAGTACATGATTGGCTTTATGCTATAAATCCACTTTTAGCAGGACAAATTAGGTGAGAATGGAATATATCAGTTTGTGAAAACATACTGTTCAATAATAATTTATTGTATCATTTATCAAATTTCATCATGCTAAACTTTATTTAAATTTTCAAAGAATTAAAAATAAAAATATTGATTCTGTTTTAGATCAAGACTAGCCCGACGTAATGTGGAAAATGCTACAACACAACAAACAACACAGGCTACACAAAATTCGAATAAATGAGATACGATTACAATGGAATCGGTATTGGTATACTAAATTTTGTATTAAATTAAAATGTTCTTAAATTTGAATATTTTACTTTAAATTTAAAAACTTTAGAAAATTATATGTAGATATGTATTTAATTTTGATATTGATTTTTTTTTTAATTATTACAAAATATATTTGTTATTGTTTTGTTTTCAAAAGGAGCACATTATAACCATTTAAGTGTAAATAGTTAATTATAGTAATATGAAAATTTATATTTAAATAATTATTTAAAATTTTTAATAAATCATATTTACTACTGTTTCATTACCTATTAAATTAAAAATTTCTTAACTATCTGTTGCGGTTTATTTCATTCAAATTTTTGAACATTTTTTATGCCAATACTAATTCCATTATTTAGAAAGAAATACATGAAATGTACTGATCATGAAATATTGAAGAATAAAGCAAAATGTTTTAAGTAACAGATAAACGACAATTTAATAAAAATCATAAATTAAACAAAAATATACAAAAAATTAAAGTCTAAAAAAATTTAAAAACAATTTAATGTGTAATTTAAAAAATATTATTATAAGTAAATTGAAGAATAGTAATTATATTAATGACTTAATTGAGTAAAAAATATTTATTGTATATTTATATTAAAATTATGAATTTATTTTCAACAAAATCAAAATGAAAAAAAAAACTAAATTGAGAAAAAACGATATAAATGGATTAAATTTCGTTTTTTCTTTTTCATTAAAATAATATGTCTCGCGGATGAACTGACTGATGTACATAATAAATTCATTTTTATAATATTTTGGCTTTTAGGAAAAAAAAACATGAACATTACAAAATTTCTGAAAACTTACAGTAAAATTATTTCTAATTTATTTTAAAATATTTCGTAATGAAACCCAGTTTTCATCACTTTGTATTTTTTATATTCAAATTGATAACACTAATATATGGTAGACGTTTCCCACACTTCAGTTCATCCCGGGGAACTTTTATGATCCAGAGTAATGAACATAAAACTCATTTATAATTATGCCTTACGTTATTATATAAAAAAAATTAATAATATGTTTTCTATTCTTCACAATATTGTAATTGTATTTTGTTACTCTTGATCAATTCGATAAATAATTTTTATTACAATTGTACATTCCAGAAACAAAACGAAATTTAAATATTTATAAAAAGTGCAAGATAAAATCTATGTGTAAAATAAAAAACAAGGAATTTTTAAAATAATATTAAATTTATTTTTTTTAAATTTTTTTTTTATTATTTTTCTAATTTTTAATATTACGCATAGTGATAAAATTTTAATTTATAGTATAAAAAGGTAAGTTTAAAGTCTTTATTGCACAGGACAAAATTACTAGATGTTGCTGAACCATTAATCTTTGCAAGATAAAAACAATAAAATGTGATTTTGACTGGATTATTTATGTATTAATCTGGAAAAGAAATTAATTCAAAAGCTAAATTACAGATGTTATTCTAGTGATTTTGCTCTGTCTAATTAAGTTTTAAAAAATATTTATATAAATATAAAGGAAACGATGAGGCACGAACTCAAAAAACTAATTAAGAAAAAATAATAAAGAAAAAAAATTAATATAAAATGCATACTCATTCCAAAGTAAAAATAAATCAAACCAAATAAATTGCATATATAATACAAAAAGTATAAATGTTATTAGAGTTATGAATATATATATATATATATACATGCATAAACAATTAAGGAAATAATTAAATTAAAACTTATAAAAAAAATATAAATATTAAAATATAAATTAAAAAAAAAAAAAGGGAAAAACTAATATTTTAAATGTTGTTGAAGAAGTGTTTAATTGCAACAGACGAGGTTTGATTTTTATCGACAAAATTTATCTTTTTAATTGTTCCATCCCTAAAGAAAAAGATTTTTATTTTGTAATAATTTATTATTACATCAAGTTTTATCAAAATTATGAAATTTGGTATGAAAGAAATATGCACAAGAACTTATTTTTTGGCGGGATGAAAATCAAATTAATTAAAATCTTGTCTGTGGAATAGAGTCTAAAATTGAGCATTTTTACAAATTACATAATTTTAATGGCAATGAATAAAAGTATTGAAAATAAAGAAATCAAATGTGAAATGAGCAAAATTTTATTTAATTTTGTATTAGTAAACTTTTGTTAATTTCTATTTCTATTTGAATTGTACTGTAAATAAAAAATAAAATATATGTGTATAATATTTTATAGCAAAAATGAATATAGTTATGAAAAATTGCACTTATGATATTATTTTACAATTTAATTTTTGTTAAATAGACTAATATTTGTAAAATCATTACTTTTAATTTTTCTTCTTTGAAATGTTTCATTCTAGCTAGAAATTTTTACAACAAAAAAAAAATTATTAAAACAAAAGCAAAATTTTATATTCGCAATGAAATGGAATTTGCAATAATACAAACATTTAGATTGTATAATATATAGAAGTATTAAAAAAAAAATGCTGAAAATTTCTATAAAAAACGCGTTTTATATAACAAAATATACATAATATGTATGTACATTTATCGTATTACTTCCTTTTTATATACTTTTGTATTTATATTATATCAAAAAAACACATATATGAAAAATGTAAATAAAATTTTGAATGAACAAAATTAAATATTTATTCGGTTCTTTTAATAAGAAAAAGCTTTCAAATTTCAAAAATTTTTTATTTTATTTCAAAAAATATAAAAACAACTTTTAATATTCGTAAAATAAACAAAATATTTCATCTTTAATCAAATTTAATAAATAATAAATAACAAAAATGGTAAAAAATACAAATAAATCAAATAAAATATGTCCTATTTTCATGATTTTAATAAATTGTTGCTGTCATAACATTAAAAAAATAAAAGTTATTATTTATTTCTTCTGAATAATTATACTATGTATTTTTATACTTGTAACGAAATTAAAAAACATTGTCATTGTTTTATTTTTATATTGAAAAATTGCTTTTCGCACGAAAACCACAAACAAAATTTACACAATTAGAATGAAACATTTCGGAAATTTTATATTTTTATTCATTTTAAATTAATTTTGTTTTAAAAAGTTTAATGAATACAAATTCATTAAAAATTTTCAAATTAATAATTAATTCCCAACCATTGCGGTTTTGAACAATCAAAAATTACAATTTCATTAATATTTTTACAAATTTCAGAATTTTAATTGACTAATATATTATTATTACTTAAAACTTATTATTAAAAGGAATTGCATGATCATATTAAATCAACTTTTTTTTTATTTGAAACATGATGACTTCAAAGAAATTTCATAAAACTTTAAAATTTATTACACTTGTGTAAGATGTTTTAAAAAATTTTAATATTTTTGTGTTTTTCTTATGCATATTTGAAAACAAAATTTGTTTTTTTAATAAGGCTTTTGTGCTAAGCTTTGTTTATTTTGAAAAATTATCACGCAAGCAGTTGAATCAAGAAATTAATAAATTCTTTTAATATTGGTCAACTGCAAACTATTTTATAATATAATATGAATATTGTATAAAATATAATTACAATGACAAATAATATATTACAATTTTTTTTTCTCTAATTAATTATTTATGTAAACTTTCTGCAAAAAAGAATTGAACGACGATAAAAAAGCACAAACGTGCACATAAAATTTTTTTTTGTAAGACTTGCATTCTTTTCAAAATAATCAATCTGCGTTTATATAACATATTTATTCCATTAGGAAAAATAATAAAATAAAAATAGTTTTATTCTTTTGAAATATATTTATGTACATATAAATTGTATATGTGTATATATAAATGTATTTAATAGAATAATGTTTTTTATTTAATTTGCGATTTGAATTTAAAACGATGATCTGTTGTAGATATAAGGCTAATGGAAAAAAAATTATCGGAAAATCTTATATGATAAATGATAGATAACATTAAAAGATAGCTTTTTGATGAACAACAAATTCGCGATAGAATTCCGATATCGATTCGAAAATATTATGTATTTTACGATCAATTTTTTATAGATTTTTAAGTTTGTTTTTCTTAATAAGGGTCATTATATCTATTTGTTCAGTTCGTAGTACATATTTCTATACATATTTATTTAATATTTGAATCCATTTATTTCTTTTTTTATTAATAATAAAATTTGAATTCAAATACGAGTATAATTTTAAATTTTAAAAAATTTGTTTAAAACAAAAATAAGTACCAAAAATATTAAATTTATTCCATATTTAATTTCTCATAATGTTATTTACATAATTTTTATTTTTTATTTTATAATATGCAAAACAAAATATAATATTAGTAAATAAAAAATTATAAGGTAATAAAATATTATATAGTATTCAAAATTTATAATGTAATATTATAATATAAAAATATCAAAATGAAAATATTAAGTATATATTTATAATAAATAGTATAAAACAATAATGAAATTGTAAATTAATAAATTTAGATAAAGTATTTTGAAAAAAAAAAAACGACAAATATACATTTGAATGTTCATAAATCTTAATTTCATCATACATATATACAAATATGTAATGTATGGGATATTATGCTTCATTCTGATGACACGATGAAAAAATAGGAACTATTTTTTTTTGGCATGCTTATTTGCAAATAAATTGTAAATAATAAATCTCCCCTAAGTGATATTAAAGATCATTTTAACGGGATGATTTTTCTTCAAATATACATAAATATTATTATACACAATAATATATACATATATATATATTTGAAAAGGATTGATTAACTTTACGGATTGTTAAGAAATAAAAAAAAAAAAAGTTTTTTATGAATAATTTTATTAAAGTTTAAATTGTTATATTTTCATTTATTATTTTTATTTAATATAATATATATAATTTATATAGGTTTGTTCCACAAAAAAAAAAAAAATTTTTTTTTTATCTGTAAATTACTAACAAATACTTATGTAGTAAATTTTTCAATTAAGGATATTTATGTAAAAAATAAACAAAAAAAATAATAAATTTTTTGATTAATATAAATTCAAATTTTACAAAGGTGTGCAATTTAAATTATAATGACAAAGGAGAAAATACATATATAAAAGCAAAAAAAAAAAAAACAAGAAAAAAAATTAAAATCAAAAATTAAAAATATTATTCAAGCTAAATGTATTATCTAAAGGTATATACGTGGCGTATCACTATATAAAAAAAAATTAATAAAAAACAGCTTTAAATAAAAATCTTAGTATGAATTTAATTTCTTTTTTAACTATCGATTCAATTTGCATATAGCTAGATCTGAGAATACGAGGATTTCCTTGCATGGCTGTGTTGTTTTATACAATTATTATGAAATTTTTGAACAAAAATAAAATTTGGAATATCTTTATCAATTTGTTGTAGTCTCAGTACGCGATCAAAATGATTTTTGTTGTTTTTAACTAAATATTTAGATTGCATTTTTTTTTTTGTTTAGAAGATGCATAGAAAACAAGAAAAAAGAATGCACAAAAAATATATTATTTATCATAGAAATTCAATAAGTAAAATTGCATTGGTCAGAAAATCAAGTAGTAGCAGAAAAAGAAAGATCCTGCATCCATAATTCAAGATAAATATAGCCAAAATTATTGGGAAAAAAGTCATAATTATTCAACTCAAAAAAATCTAAATAATAACCATGAATTCCAAAGTCTTCTGTAATACCTCTTTGTAAACCAGAATTGCAGATATAGTGTATAAGCATTTTCTTCTTTTTTAAAAATGTGAATCTCTGGTTCCGTACTTTCTAGTACGGACAACTTCATTGCATAAATCACTATTAGTAGACGAAAACCTCAATAGACTTTTCGATTTATCCTTCTTCCGTAATACTTAGATTTACATACTGAAGGTAATCATATACATATATAGCTATAATATTCCTTTAGTAAAAGCATTTACTATTTTTTATTCATGTGGTCAATATAAAGCATCGCTAATTGCTGAAAATTTTATAATTGAAATTGTTGTTTAAAATTAATTTAATATATTATTATCCAATTTCTTTATTCATGATATATGATTTAAAACTTTTATGAACTCAACGAAATATTTTCAATATCATTACTTAATTTATTATTAATATCGTTATCTTCATTTGTTGTGTCGATAAGCACATTTTCTTCGCTACAATATTGAATGCTCTCCTTCCAATTTGGAACATCTGATAAATATTTTGTATTACCAACAATAATCAAAAGGGCTTGTGCCCGCGTTAGCATTACATTTAATCTCTAATAATAAAATATTAAATAATAAAATATAGACTTTTTATTGCAATATTAATTTGATTAGAGTTTTTAATTTACCTTCTCGTTAACCAAGAAACCAACACCCTGCCTATCTGAAACTTGTGATCTTACTGTTGAAATTATTATAACCGGCTTTTCTTGTCCTTGAAATGTTTCTACAGAACCTGTGGCAATTTTATACCATTTACGTTTATTCAATTCTTCTCTGATTATAATATTTTGTTTTCTATATGGAGAAATTACGCCAATGTCTTCTTCTTTAATTTTTCTACCATTAATGTGGAAATACATCAATTTCTTGACATATTCCATAACAATGTTTACTTCCTTTAAATTAAACAAACTGAAAAAAAATATAAATTTTTTGAGTTTTATTTTATTTGTCTTTTATTTATCACATACCTATGTGAGTACATGTCTTGCTTTGTGTGACCACTGACATGATGGAATATTAAAGGTAATTCTTTTTGAGGCAAATTGTTCCAACCTATTGCCCAATGGGTTAAATCTAAAATTGTACCAATTTCTTAAATCAGAACAAACTGATATTTGTGTATACACTTACCTATGTTTGCACACGCAATCAAATCATTTGAATAAAATAATTTATTGGAAATTGATAAAATACCTGGATGCGTTCGAAAGTTCCTTACAAGTCGTGTTTGAATAGTTCTATTATACATTCTATCGTCGTTAACTCTGTAACATTTACGATTTAATAATCTTTCTAATAAAGATATTTTTAAACCATATTCGGATGCAAGTTTTGAATGCAAAATAGGACCCAATTGTTTTGGATCTCCAGCAATTATGATTTTTATGTTAGAATGAAAAACAGCTTCAACAGCAACGAGTACTTCGGGTTCTGTCGAAGCTGCACATTCGTCAATAAAGCAATAGGTATAATTACTTGGTACCAAACCAGATGCTTTTAATCGACCGACTAATGAAGTTGTACATATCAGCACATTGTAATTTTGTATGCTTTCTAAAGAGGGAAAAAAATGGTAGCCGTATGATAAATTTGAATTTTCAATTAAGTCTTTATCAATATTTTCCAAAGACTTCTCAGATGATTTGGAAAATAGACGAAATATTTTTAGGTCTGCAAACTGAGAATTTTTGATTTTAATCAAGCGTTTAGCTATCTCATTACATGCGGCATTCGATCCAGCTGTTACTAAAATTTTTTCTTCAGGCTTTTTTATTTGTAATTGTAAAATGCTTTCAACAATGGTAGTAGTTTTACCCGTTCCTAAAAATGTTTAAATAAAGTACTAATAACTTTTTTTAAATAACAACCTGGTGGTCCAACAATTATATATGGTAAAAAGTATTTTATTCCATTAACAATATTTAAAACTGCTTCCTTTTGCTCTGGATTATTTTCCACATTGACGTCGAATATATCAATTCTTAAATTATATAACTTCATTTAATTTATTTTAATTTCAATAATTTCAAAAAAAGTACTCAGGCATAGATATAGTTGCGCATGAATTAAATTGCTTATCATCTTCCGGAAATAAGAAAACTGATATAAGAGAATATTGATCTATGGCATTTAATGCAGAATACTGATATAAAAAATTTCTTCTATTTGGACGAAATTTAACATCATATTTTTTGCTAATGTCAATCTTATCCTTTCGACATTCAAAATAAACTGTTGTACCGTAAATATTCGAAATGATTCCAAAATATTTATATTTCAATTTTCTAGCACATCTAACTTCTTCATTAGGTACATTCAATTCTTTAGCGATGTTCGTATCGCTGCAAATTAAAATCAATTCATCGCCACAGTTTATTGTGTCTTGAAAAATTTCACCTTCCGGTAAGTTACTGAGCTTAAAAAAGAATTAAAAATTACTAAAAATCTAATTTTTTCTTTGGAACTTTACTTTGATGGAATATTCCAATTCTTTCTTTGTTCTTCTGACGCAATGTATTTGGGTTTCGGTTTGAGTAAAATTAAGGTAACATTTCTCAATTTCAATATCTTCCATTTCTAGTAAAAATTTAAAGACTTCACAAATATTGCATGGAGTAAGATTTCTGTCGTCTTCTGTACAAAATTTTCTTGAAAAAATATTAAATGCTCAAAATAGCTTAGATTTAAAAAATTTTACTAAAATAATACATTAAGTTTCTACAATTCATTTACCTTAAATCTCTACTAATAGAAAATAAATCATTTTCGGTAAAATTTTTCATGGAATAGAGTTCTCTCAATGATTCTCTTGGAAAATGCTCTGATATAACACCTTTTTTTGTTTTTAATTGCCTATGAAATAAAAATCAAAAATCGTATTTACATAAAAAATAAACACATTTGAGGACATTTACGATTGCTTAATTTCACCTCCATTAAGCATTTTTCTTGATAAAAATAGGCTTGGTAACTGAAACAAAACTTTCACATTGAAAAGAAATTAAAAAAAAATTAACATAAGTACTATTGTGTGCAGTTCAACAAATTTTTCTCGTTGATTTTGATCTGTATTTACAAACATATGAAAAGTTACATAGATTGGTTGTTCAATAGATTTAATAAATACATGTTTGTCTATAACAAACTCGTAGGATCCACCTTCATCTAAAAGCAAAAATAGATTTTGGATTGATTAAATTCAGAAGGATGTTTTAAATTAGTATAAGTAAATAGATAAGTACCAATTATCCTTTCATTATCTTTGTGATTCACTAAACATAATATATCCGTAGATCTAGCTGTAGCCACGGAACTAAGAGATATGCCAGAATATTGTGTACTCAATGTGAATTTAAGGAAATCAGAATCTTCACTTATTTGACAAAATATTTGAAAACGTGGAAAAGGTGATCCTCTGAAAATAAACTCAGCTATATATGCAACATGAAACAGTTGTTAGTACATTTATTTACTGATTTTTTATTATCCATTCAAAATTTGATGTAGAAATATGCAGTTCAAGATGTTCTTCTAAAAGATCTTTAGATTGAAATTTTAAAGTGCAAATTTCACAAGAAATGTCCGAATCGCTTCCTAATGATTGTTCTATTAAAACACAAGTCTTAAATTCAAGCTTTTGTTTCTCCTGACTAAATTTTCGGGTTATTTTATCTTAAATTCCGGGAATAAAAATTTTAAATTTATTTTGATAATTATTAACTAGTATAAAAGTAAATAAGTACCATTTTCCTGAAATGTGTGTTTTAATACGGCTTCGTTTATTTGGGTTCGGTCCAGCTCATTCAAGAAATAATTCTCATACTCAAGTAAAGTTGTCTTGTTTATTACAATTACATCTTCTTCGTTACTTTTCTTAATGATTAATTTGCCATCTCTTAAAATTTCTTCTAACTGTGTAATTTTAAAATATATGAAAAATTATGATTCTTTGCATGATGCAGTTAATAACCTTTTCATTTATTTTTAAGTTCTTTTTGCTTTCCCATGACGCTAATTTTGATATGAAATTTGATTTAGTAATAGAAAATACGTCAGTTTCTTCATTAAAGATATTTTTATGATACAAATATACTATAAATTTCTTAATCGCAGTACCATCTAAAAATTTAAAATATATGTAGTGAAATGTAAAACAATTGAATAAGTAAAATCTTGTGGATTCGTACCCATTTTAACATTCAAATTGTATTTAAATTATCAAAAGTAAATTTGAAAAACAGGCTTCTTCTCTGCTTCTCACTAAATTATATTTACAAATATTTATGTAGATATTCGGACCCTATCCGAAAAATCCGTCAAAAATAATGTCTAAAAATCATGTAATTGGATTTCATCTGACAACAAATAAATAATAGAAGTTTCACTCTTTAGATTTACTGTCAGATTTTTTTAAAATAAAAAGATGACAAAAATTTTTGGTGGGAGTTTTGAATAGCGATCAGCTGATTTTTTTGTTGATTAGAATTTTTTTTAGCAAATTGTTAAAATTTGACGTAAAGACTGAATTCCATGTGTTAATTTCATAAATTAACAAAATCATCTGAGGAATGCCTTCTTTTAAAATTCCATACCAAAGTTTTTTCTATTTCTTTTGGAAATTAGATCTGCATAAGAACATATTTTTCTGATAAAAAAATAAAAGTAAAAAATTAATTTTCATTTTTCTATTTTCTTCGTAAACGTAAAAAAATTATAAAATATGTCTAAATTACAATTTTTTCGTGGACGACATAAATTACAAAATGTTGACAAATGTTTAATTTGATAGCGAAATTTTTGAAAAATGTGCCTGAAAATTAAAAAAAAAAAAGAAAATTTTCAGAAATTTTCAGAATAATTTTTTTTCAAAAATAAAAATCTTTCTTAAGAGTGGGATTTGCACTTAATTTCATCTAAAGGTAAAAAAACGAATGATATTGCTTCAAGTAGAAGTTTCGTATGGCTCATGCATTTGAATTTAAACGTTTAGTTAGACAAATCTATTATCTGCATTTCATATACATGCAGTTTAGACATTTAAATGAAACGTAACTGTAATGTATGTTGAATTTTTCCCTTAACATTTTACCATTTCTTCTAATTAAAAGTATTCCAATTTCTCAATCGCTTGTATTTTCATAACAAACTTTTGTAAAACAATTTTATATTTACAATTTTATAAAAGAAATATGTATATTATCGTCCATATGTATATTATCGTCTTTTGCATCTATGGTTAACGTACGTTTTATTTCCTCTGGCAACAAACTAATTGTGTGGAACTAAATTTTTGACTCACGTAAAGGTTCGCTATGTTCAAAACTATATTCAATTGGCCTTTATTCAAAATGACCAAATTGGAGATATTACATTATGTATAATTTGTTGGATCATCATGACAAATAATAAGCTGTTCATTTCTTTTTTCAAAACAACAAGTTGCAAAAGTGCGAAAATTTTTTTTTTACTTTTTTTTTTGTTTTTTGGATTTGTTTGATGTTGCATTGCACTTAACGACTAGTGTTATTTTTGTTGCTTTTAATTAATTTTATGTGATTTAATTTCATAACAAAGAAAAATTAAATAAATATGAAACAATCAAAACACTCAAAAAATAATTCTAATAAAAAAAATAAAACATATTTTTATTATCTAAAGGAAAAAATTTTTTAAAGTGACGTTAAATGTTGTTGTTACTTTTATATTGTTTAATAATCAAATAATTCTTCAAAAAAAGATTTACTATAGTGACTCATAATCATTTTTTTAAAATTTACCTATTATGTATTTTTAGTAGTTAAAATAAACACGTATGTAAATCGATTTGGGTAGTGTGAAATTACACGAATAAACTGTGAAAATTTGAAATTTTGCGATCGCCAGAATAAAATAGTCCTTTACCAAAACTTACAAATAAAATTTACAAAATGCCGAGGAGCGACAAACGAAATTTTAACCAAATTGATAAAGAAGAACTAGGTAAGTCCTCCATAATTACAAATATTTGAATTAGGTAGGAACATATGCATGTACATACATATGTAGATATGTAATTGTGCACATACGTGTTGTATGTAAATATGTATACATATTTTGGAGTTATTACAGATCAATTTGTTTATGAATTTGCATTAAATTTGTACCACAACAAGTGCTTGGATGAGGAATTACGTATTTCAAAAAATAAGTTAAGAAAAAAATTCTTTGACTTCTTTAATGAAAAGGGTATATTATACGATCATAATCAAGATAAAAAGGTAAGTAAAATCATGTGATATATAGTCATTTTGAAAAATTTATAAAAAAATAGGGAAATACCCTTTTAGTGCTTAATGAATACTACTTAGTTTTTGCACGTGAAAGTCTGGCAGTTACTGGAAAAATAATTGAAACAACATATTAAATAAGAAAAAATGTAACTTTGCATAAATTGGGTCATATATTAGGTTTTTTAACTAAATTGTAAAATTACTTATAATAAATGGGAAAACAATTATAAAAAAATAAAAAATTTAAATAAAATTGCGAAAGTCAGACACTTCTTACACACCCTAAATTATTGCTCTATAGATTGTGGGTTCTTTTATTAGTTATTGGGAGTTATAATACTTTTATTAGTTATTAGTTATATGTACCTTCATTCTGTGGGAAAATCACAGACCATTTTGTACAGATTCTGTGATATGGACTTTGAGAAGGCTTAGAGACTTTTATTCCTGGGTTGTGATCATTTGAACCCGGCGGATGTTGTGTCGAACCCATTGTCCAGTATCTTTAGGTTTCTTGAAGAAGCAAGGATAGCATAGAATTTTTTTCTCTGGAGATTTTTAAAATAGGTCAGAATTGTCGTTATCATATCAGAATTTAGTACTTTCAGGGGTTAATTTACAATTTACAATGTGTACTTATTAAATATTTTCCACTAGTCACATAACATACATACATACATACATATTTACATTCCTATTTTTATAAATATTTTAAATAATTCTGCGACATTTTTTTTAAATTTTTTAGATTGGAACAATATTAAGTGACTGTAATATATTATATAAATCGTCATCGGATTTATTTTGCTTAAAATTTTCCAAACTCTTTGAATATGAGCGGTCTGTTATTGACAAATATGATAATGAACAAATCAGGAAAACAGAAAAAAAAACATTATTGCAACAAATATCAGATCAAAAATCAGGTAATGTTAAATTAAAAATTATGTGTATGTTCGTTCAATGTAAATAATATTAAAAAAATTTTGTATAAATTTAGATGATTACGAAATCGAAAACAATTCTGTATTGGAATTTTTAGAATTTCAAAGTTGTGTCAGAACGGAAAAGAATAATCAATTTGTTTCAACTAATTTTGCTTGCTATATTTGTCAACAGAATTTATCTCCTACTGATTTGCAGGATCATATACCAATTCATAATGACATGACGGATTTTGAGTGGTTGAAAAATAATCCAAGGTAATAGATATTATGATATAATACCGAATATGTTTACTTGACTAGTTGTTTACTTACATACACATATACATTCATACCGATTTTGTAATATTTCTGAACAAAATTAATTGATTTTTAAACTTAAAACTAGATTATTAATTTTATTAATCTAATATTTGTAAATCATTATATAAAAAATTACATAAATATGTAACATTCTTTAACCTTTCTAGTGATTTAAATGCAAATTTTGAAGTGTTTTATCAAACCTGCCGCAATCAATACTATTTGAAGTTTACAATGAAAACCAAAAAGAATAATATCAAAATTCGGAGAATTATAACAATCAGATCAAATTCTATTACAACTCTTAAACGGAATGATGAGGATAATGATATATTAAAAAGTAGGAGCCTACATAAACAAAATGAAAAATTGCACAATATAAAAAACAATATTTTTAGGTGGTTTGTGTTCCTTTGTTGTTGATAGACATATTTTCAATATTGACACTGAGCAACCAGTTGTTGTTATTTATCAAATGGAAAACATTAATGAAATATTCATTGAACATTATTTTATGGTAGTTACTTATACATTCATACCTACTAAAATAGCAAATTTTTCATTTAACTAAAGATATTTTATTAAATTCATATTTTTTTGTAGCGCTCAAAAGCTTTATCGCCTATAAATCCCCACATACTTCCAGGATATTTATCTGAAGCAGTTCTAAAAAGATCGTAAAAAAAATTGAATTTCTTTTTAACTACATTACCGTGTTTTTATATTTTTAGTGAACTTTCGAAGTTAAAATTGCAAGAATATCATCCTGAATCTAAATTAAAAGAATTATGTTCAAAACAAAATTCAAAAAATTATTTAATGATGTACAACAACTACATTAAGTAAGAAAAATTCTGTATAATTATTTTTTCTATTTGAAATAAAACTCGCATTATTAGATAATATAATATAATGGAAAGTTAATAAGCAAAAATAAAAAATGTATGCATTGCAAATTTTTATTTTAAGTGAATACATTAATAATGGGAAGAAATTATCATGTACAAATATAGCACATATTTTGAAATTTTTAGTACAACTGGAAGACATTGAAACACAAAATTTTTATAAGAAACTAAAACAAAATCAAGCAACTATTAAAGGATCTGGTCGCGATTTTTCTGTCAAGGTATTTATCATTTTTTTTTTACTTTAAAATTCCTAATAATTATTTATTTGTAGGTAAACTTACCAAAAAATATAAAATTGGAAGAAGTTGTAAAGCCTGGTGATGAAGTAATTCTAAAATTGTCAAAAAAGGAACCTACAAGAAATGCGAAAGAAGAAAATGTGTTTCACTGTGTAGTAAATCGTATATATGATAAAAACGTTTGTTTTGAATCTAGAAAAGGAAAATCAAATATAATAAGCGTTCATAAAAAATATGATATTGAATTTATTCCTAATCGTCTTAATTTTAAATATCAATATTCTGCAATTGAAGTAATAGAAAAAAATTCCCAATTAAAATCCTACTTGTTTCCCAAAGTTTCTATTTCGAATACGGCTGGAATATTAAGGTAAATCATTGAAAAAAGAAAAAATAAAATATTAGTAGAAATTTTCTCTATCTCAAAAATTTAGTTTGGATATAATTAATAAAAGCGTTGAGAAAAATCCCGAACAAAAACAGGCTGTTTTAAATATAGTAAATGGTGTAAAAGATTTGCCTTATATAATAGTTGGGCCACCAGGTAACCTTTTGTACTTCCATTACATTTTTACAGTTTTGGATAAATTTTTTTCACACTTAAGGAACTGGAAAAACTACTACAATAGTAGAAAGTATTTTACAAGTTAAGTTAAACCATCCGAAAGAATGTCGTATTATAGTAACTGCTGGTTCTAATGCAGCTTGTGATGAAATTGGAAAAAGGCTAGTAAAATTAATAGAAAGTACACCAAGAATTCGTCATATCAAAGTTCTCCGTTTGTATGCTAAATCTGTTGAAGTTAGATCTGAAAATATTGATGAAAATTTGATTGCGGTGTCCAATTTGGTTTATGGCGATCACTTTTATCCATCATTAGAAACAATTGGGCTTTATCATGTCGTAATAAGCACGTTATCAGTTTTGGGACGTCTTACATCAAGCGGTATGCCAACAAATTTTTTTTCATATTGTTTTATTGACGAATGCGCAGCATCAACCGAGCCAGAAGTTCTTGTTGCAGTATCAGCAGTTTATCATTCAAAAATAAATATCGTAGTAGCTGGTGATCCTAAACAATTAGGGCCCATATTAAAATCTGATACGGCTGCAGAATTTGGGTTAAAGTTTTCTTTTATGGAAAGACTGTTAGATACAGATTGTTACCAAGACACAAGAGACAAAAGTTATAATCAAAGAATACAAACTAGGCTTGTAAGAAATTTCAGAACCCACTCCGATATTTTGCAAGTTTCAAATAATCTATTTTACTCAAATAGTCTAATTGCCTGTGCTCCTAAAGGTTATTTTTTTCTAATAATCAATTCTTATAAAATATTTTAACCTCTATACTTTAAATTATATTATAAAATGAACGTTTGTTTTTATTTTATATGCATGTATGAAATTATTCTTTTATAATATTATTTAATTACAATATTATAAATTTTAGTACATGCTAAATTTCATTGATCAAGTTATGAAAGATGAAAGAATACAACATAATAAAATAATATAAAAGAAATATATGTACATTATTTACAGCAATAACTCATTGGGCTGCTAATTGGTTCCGTTTACCTAAGGCTGGAGTACCGATAATTTTTCATTGTGCAAATGGTTATACTAAGAGTGATAAACTTTCCACTAGGTTAAATATTGCCAAAGTTTATATTTTACATTTCCCTTTCATTTTAGAAATGAAAATTTTCTTATAATTTTTTAGCCTTTATAATATGAGAGAAGTTAATATAGTACTGGATTATGTAAAAAAACTGATGTATTTTAAAAAACTCGAAGGTAGAGATATAAAAGAAGAAGACATTGGAGTAATATCTCCTTATAAAAAACAAAATGTGATAATTAGAGAGGAATTAGATAAACGACATTGGCATAATATTGCAACAGGAGCTGTAGAAACTTTTCAAGGGCAAGAAAAACCTATAATTATTATTTCGACTGTACGGTCAATGTTTTCAGACAAAAGTGGTCCAGGATTTTTGGACAACCCAAAGGTAATTGAATTAAAAATCTATTCCGAGTTTTTATACAATTTTTTTTAACTTACAGCGTTTAAACGTTATGCTTACAAGAGCGCAAGCTCTTTTAATTATTGTGGGAAATTTAGAACTGTTGAAAGGAATTGAAAACTGGAAAGAAGCTATAGATTATTTCGAAATAAGGAAAGTTGTAACAAATAGCAATTTTTTAAAAGTAAAAAGCGTCGTTCATGAACAAAATTATTTACATTGTTCAAATAGTTTACAAAATTTAAGTATTGCCAATAAAACACCGAATCGACGAAGAAATCGAAATAAACGTAACCGAGCCCGTTCCTCGCAAAATTTAAGTACAAAAAATGAAAGTGCAAGAAATGGAATATCTGAGGAAAAAAAAGTAGAAAATTGGCTTACCGAAAATAGAAATTTTCAAAAAAAAATTTTGAATGTAGATAAGGAAAATAAAACAAGTTTCAAAATCGATTATGATTCAGATTCCATCGCTTCAGATATACCTAACCCATTTAATTTAGATTTCTTAAGTAGCATTAATTTTAATAATAGTAAAATGCATGACACAACTGGCTTCGGTTCAAACAGCGCTATTACTGGTAATTGTATATTCTTGTTTTTAAGAAACTTTTCCTATCTATTAACAGATTTTCGTCTTTAGATTACACACTATATCCAGCGAATGTTGAAGCAGTAGAAAAACAGACAAATTCATTTATTGAAAAGCCCATAAACAAAATTGATTTCGTTGAATCTGACTCTCTTCCTGATAAAAAACTTTTACACCAGTTCAACAGTTCCAGCAGTAATAAAATCGAAACAGGTTCCAATATAAAATTAAATTCATTTGTTATATCTGAAGTTCCGCTAAAAGCACCAGTTCCATTACAAACGAAAAAGCCAAAGAAAAATAAAAGTGCAAATTGTTCCCTTTGCTAATTTTAAAATTTGCTTTTTATATTATGTATTATAACGTTGTGATGATTTTAATAAAAGTACAAACTGCTTTTTCATAACATAATTACACACACCTTTTTTTAATATCATTATAAAAAGTCTATCAGATTTATTTAAAGAGAAAAGTAGTTGTGGTTTAAACTTAATTTTACAAAATGCAGCTTAAAGTACTTTTTATTTTGATTTTGCGTTGGTACCTAGTTTTTTTTTATTTCGATTTTTTTCTAGCCTTCAACATTTAGAAGTTTAATACTTCTTTAACACACCAGTAAAAATTAAGAAAACACTTGGCGATATATTAAATATATTATATTTGTTGTGAAAGCGAAATCAAGGTACTTCTAAACTCAATTTAATACTGAGAAAGTTATCAACAAATTACGCAAATTTTTTGCACTATTGTAAAAATTTTTTTTCTAAAAATTTCTGCAGAAAGACTTTTATACTGTTGTAGTTCTCAAGTTCTAATTTTGAAACGCTAATTGCATTATCTTAATTCTCGTTTTTCTTAGAACCACTTTTAATTTAATTTCAGTTAACTTAAAAAATCTTCGATTACACTTTATAAGTCTGTTACAGGAATTTTTACTGTAAAACCACTGCTGACAAAAATATTTACTTATTTGAAATTTTTACGTTAAGTGTTAAACATTCAAACAAATTCAGTATTCTTTAAAAAATTACTTTCATAAAACTGTTATGTATTTCCAAAAAAAAACTTTATTTAAGATGAAACTATCTGATCGTTGTGAATTGCTGGAGTTCAACAGTTTTAAATTTTCCATAGAGCTCTAAAGGATAATTACGACCTTCTACAGGTGAATGAATTCGTATTTGTCTCATATGTGTATCGCGTCCATTCTGATGATTTGATATCACAGCTATTTGAATCATAAAAGTTCTCAGCGTTTTATCTCTGCTGTCTTTTATTGGAATGGGAACCCAGCCTAATATTAAAATGATTTAAAACGAAAATTATAAACATTTGAAAAATTATAAACAAACAGAAATTTATGTAGCTACCAGTTGGTTCAGAAAGATCTACAACTTCTATTTCTTGTAAGTCGTTAAAATGCGTCCCGGATCTAATGGATATTCTACTTGGAGTGTAACTCTCATCAAGTTTATAATCCGTATATATATAAATTTGACTGATTGTAGTTTTCCTTTGAAATTGAATATTTACTAAATGAGGTAATTGTCCATCTGATTGCCAGTATGTGTCCATACAATTATCTCGAAGCCTCTCCACTCCAAACCCTGAATAAAATTTATAAAAAATGCAAAATTTTTTAAATAAAAGAATAATCTTCACCAGGTTTGCAAGAGCTTAAGCTCCAAACAGCAGCTCCACCTACTTCTCTAACACCCCCATTCCTTTCTTGTATTAGAGGATTATATGTTTTAACATTAGCCATAGTAAGTTTAATTTAGGAAAAATACTTTTATTTAGATTTTTGACTTTGCCACTTAAACTATTTTAGAAGTGCTAAAAAATTCAACTAAACACAAACGTACTAGACAAAAGACAAGTCAAAATAAATGACAGTAGGCAGAAAACACAGAAGACATAACAAAACTATAAATAATGTAACCAACTCGGCGAAAAACAGCGATATTTTCGTTTATTCATTCTAAAGAAAGATTAGAATGAATACAATGTCTGTTATAAAGGTGAAAAAATTTTATAAAATAGGTAACAATCGTCAAATGTCAAAATATGTATCAAACATAAACAAATATTTTTTAGTTATACAAAAAAGCCAAAGTTTTGAGTTTTAATATAAAATTAATAAAAAAGAAACATATCTTTGTTTACTGTTGATGAAAATTGTAGAAAATTTATTTATGGAAGTACACAGTATGTTTTTAAAATATTTTAAAATGCTAATTTTAATTTACAAAACTTGAAAAAACTTTAAAAATTAAAAAAATGTTGACGTCATCATTTTCTCTCATGAAGCATTATACCAGACGCTTTGCATACTAAAACTTTTTAAAGTTTTTTCAAGTTTTATAAAATGATGAGAAATTTTCTTATTTCTATCATACAGATTACCTGTTTGATTCAAATTAAAATGTAACATTTTCTTTAAAAAATTCACACATTAGAAATTCTTGTATGTAACATTTTCCTCTTTCTTTATTTGAAATATTTAACCAGTTTTCAACGTTTTTATTTTAATTTTCTTCATAATTCCGTTTTATGTATAATATAACATGATATGATGTGAAATTAAGTTGGCTATATTTACGCTTATAAAAAAGCAAAATATCGTGACTTCAAAATAGCACTAATTTGTAATGCTACTATGAATGTTGCAGCATTATAATATTAGTGTAATTAAAATTCATTAGTTGATCATATTATGTATAATTTGAATTTTGGAGTCAGGACTAGTGTTTACGTTTCCTGCATAATAAATATACGTACATACATAATTAAAAACATGCACTGCTTTTGCATAAGTACTACGTGTACCTAGATTTTTTACTGCAATTTCTTTTACTTTTACATACAGTAAGTGTAAAAAAACGCTCAGTAAAATCGTTTTTGTTTAACTCTTAATATCTTTTATTTGAATTATGTATGCAATTTAGAAATAAATTTATAAAATTGAAAGTTCACTCAATTATTAACAAAATTTATGAAATAAAAAAACTAACAAAATCAAAATTAAACAAATTCAAAAATACAGCAGTTTTTACGAGTCAAAAAAAACCGCTCAGTTATAAGAAATGTTTTAATTTTTTGAAAAATAACGTGAATTAATATTAGGTATGCATTTCTTTTGCTTTTACTGCGTTTAATCTCCTAGGCATATATACAGCCAGTGTTTCTGTTAATTCAGAAGGTATTTTTTGCCATTTTTCTAGAATTACTTTCTTCAGCTCTTGCCTGTTACTAATTTCTCCTTTTTTTAATGTTCTTATCCAAATAATCCCACAAATGCTCAATAGGTGAAGGTTTGGGAACTGAGGAAGATGATCTAATTATTTAGGTGTCTTATGCAGCAACCATTCTTTGATAATAAGGTCTGTATGGATACAAAGAAGAATATAGTGTAGATACAGATTTTCAGATTTAAATTACCCTTAACTTGAAATTTATGGTCCATACCAGTGCCTAATCTAACAAGTTTTGTCAATCTAATAACTTTTGTTTCTGGCAAAATAAAAGTTTTCTCTTTTTGCACACTCACACTTAAATACTTTTTGCACATATCACACTTTATATACTTATACTACATAGATACTTATTTTTCTACTTAAAGAAAAGGTAAAAACTAAAAAAACAAATTTTGGTTTAAGCACTAAGCGTTTAAATATCGTTTTAATATCGTGCCACAATTATTCCGATTGCATCGTTTTTCTACCGTTTGTAAAAATTTACCGTTTTAAATTTTTATCGTTTTTGATGGGCAACGGGGATTTTAACTTAATTCTTAATATGAAACATTTCCGATAAATAGTAACTGCAAAATCTGCAAAATAGCAAGTTAAAAAATTACGGTTAAGTTTTTTTTTGTAATTATGTACTACAAAAACATTTTAAATTAGAAGCAGAGCATAATAAAAAAATTTTAGATTGCGTTACTCGACTATGTTACAAATCTGCAAAAAAAAATTTATGGTTTCTGCAGTTTTGTATGTTAATGTGTGAGAACACTTTCAAGATTTAATTTAGATTACATTCAATGCATATCTGAATTATTGAAAATCCGTGACTTCAAAATTGTAGGAATACTGCATTGTTACACAATTCAGCAATAACAATTGATAACCTGAATTTTGTATTAAGTCCTTATTAGTGCAATTTTGAAGTCAAGGAATCTTCTTAACCTATCTCAATTTTTCGGTACACCGACAGGAAAAATTAAAAGCTCTAAAAAATCTTTTACCTATTCCAGGAAAATCGGATTCATGTCTGTCGACTGGCTTTTGTAAAAAGAAAACTTATGTATATATGCTTATGCACAACATTTAATTTTTGAATTTCAATACATATCCGTTCGTTTTATGAAAAATTCATTTAGAAACCTAAAGCTAATTTTCTAAGTTTTCTAAGGTTTCTAAGCTACTTTAAAAATAATGAATGTATGTATGTAAAGTATTATAGCTCTTTAACATCATTAAATTTGAAATTTCTGTTAACTTTGAATTTTGATTTTATTTTGAAAATAATTTAATACATAATATGTATAAATAAGTACAAATAAAAAATTTAAAAAATAAAATCCCCGAACTAGACGTGACTTGGTACATATTTGGAATGCTCTTTCATCAACCAGTAACCGAACCATTCATGTAAATGTCACGATTTTAGGTTAATAAAATAAAACAAATTTTATTTTTCATTGTAATGTAAAGTTTTTGTTATAATTCTAATATGATATCTGAACGACAGAGCATTTAGATTTTTTTTATATACTAATAATTTTAAATTTGAATTACAATAGATTTATAAATATTTTTTTTTGTTATCAATAATTATTTTAAAAACATTTTTTATTTATAGGTTTAACTAAAAAATTAATTCGTGCATCCACTACTTAAATATTAATTTATTAAAATTAGATTTTTACTTTTAAATAATATATATAATATTTTTGATAATTCACGAATATTTTGACTGGAAAGCTATTTCTATACTTCATTTTTGTTTTTTTTTTTACGAATATTTTCCTCATAGAGGACAATAGCTACAGTAATAAAAACATTAAATTTTGTTAAATATAAATTATATTTTTTAAAGTAGTGAAAATATTATTATGAGATATTTAATTAAAATTATGAATTTTAAAATGTAATGCATTTTATATTAGATAGATATTTTTGAAAAAAAAAAAAAAAATTGATGCATTTAATATACTGAATTCTTCAAAATTAAGAATTGACCTTTAAGTATATAATTACTTAAATTTTTGTTAAGAAAGTGGTAAACTATTTCTTTCATAAACCTTTGCTTTACACAGACACAATTTTACATAATACAAATTTGTACATTAAAGTATATTAAATATTTTCGTAAATTTATTTAATTGCGTACAAAGTTTTTTTTTTGTTTTTCAATTTAAACCACATAGAAATTGGATCCGATTAAAATTTGGAAACTGAATGTACTGAGAATAAGTTAGTGTTTATATCTTAATTTTATAGATTAGGGAAATAGAACGCAATATCAATTCAATACTTAAACTGAATGTTATATTATCGAAGGAAGTCAAATTTAATAAAAGATAATCAGAAACATAAGCTTAAAATTAATACTTAATCTAAATTATAGTATGTACAAGCTTTCCAATTTTAAATTTTTTTTTACTTAATTTAAATAAAATATTTTTTTTTTCTCTAATATTAAAAAAATCCATTATATTATTAAAACTATTAAATAAACTAGATTGTTTTAATTTACACTAACATACAATTTATGAAAACATTCATTTATGAAGTACATACAAATATTTACCTTTTACTATTAACAATTTTAAACAGTATATTTGTTAATATACGTGTAGCATATATTCAAATTATATAATGAATAAAACAATTATTTATTTTTTCGCATTTGACATCTCCATTTTTATTGATTCCGTTAATAATTTAAAAATGTTTTCAATTTAAAATCAAGTCTTTTTGAATAAATTTGATTTTAAGCTATTAAGATTATCAATACATTTTTTTTAAATCTTTCGCAAGCATAAGTGTTAAAAAATTTAGTCTTAATATTATATAATGCGTCATAAATTTAGTTCCTACGTATAGAAAGAGAATACTTACGCATTAATATAAATTTTTATTTAATTTATACAAAAAAAATATAATTAAACTTTACATAATTAATTTGTTAAGGATTGAGATTAGCTTCTTTTTCAGAAATAGTTTTAATGGCCATAGTTTTCATTTGAAATAACATTTTGTATTCTATTATCATATAAAAGATGAATAAAGTTAGTTAATGAAATTTAAGAAATACCAAACATTTTTTTTGTATTAATTTTGTAGTTTCACAATATAGGTTTGGTATTCCAAATACGTGTTTCAAATTTAGATATTGTGATAATTTCTAATATGTATTTTCAACATTATTTTTTTGCATAGTAAAAATATTAAAATTTACTTGAAAATAACAAATGTTCAAATTAATAGAAATCGAATATGTATGCATACTTATTGAAAAAAAAATAAATAATTTTCAAAAAACTGAAACTATAGTTTAATTAGAAGCGGATTGAATAAATAATACTGAAATATATGTATATATTGAAAGTTCAGACGCAAATATTAGTTTGTTGAATAGTTTTGACTTAAAAACGAGATCTCAACAGGTTCCATTGATGAAAGATTTTATGCAAAAATTGTAGAATAAGTTGCATCTGAATTTTTATTCTTAATTTCACTTGTCTTTTCTTTATCGTTTCTTATATTTATAACATTTTGACTAGTTTCCATTTCTTCTAAATGTTGGCTTCCTACAATTGGTTGAAGTGATGTAATATTTTTTGATGCTAAACTATTTAAGTCTATCTTTTCTTGCATTAATAAATTCCTTAGATTTTCGTTCATAAAGCTTATTTCAGTGTATTGAAGTGGGGGAGTGAGGTTTTTAGTTTTTTGCTTATAATTTTCGGAAATATAATTTTTTTCATCATATTTTTTTTCTATTTCATGCGTTAAAAGTTTACATGGAATTTCTTCTACAAACCTAGATTGTTTGAGAAAACAATCAGATTTACTTTGTTCTTCATTATTATTATATGATTTCGAATTTAAAGAATCAACATCAGAAACCTTATCACAATTTGATATTATATATTGATTAGAGTTTTCACACGATGGTTTATAAGTTTTATCAAGTTTATTTTCTATAGTTTTTTCTTCTAATGGTGGTGATAATGTTGACAAATTATAGAAATTGGGTTTACGCATTGCTCGTAATTGATCTATTAATTTAGGCTGTTGTGATGGAATTTCGTCAGTGCAATTTGACCTACTTTTATCATCTACATTTTCATTAAGTTCCATATTTATTGTACAATTGTCGTTAAATAAAACTTTTACTGGTAACTTAGAAGTCATGGTGTTTTCATTTTCTGCTTGCTTGGATTTTGGTGTATAAGGAGGTGTCAAAATTGATTGGGCGGGCGGATCTAAAATCAAAATTATGTTAATTATATATATTTTCTAATATTTTTTTAAATTATTTTATTTTTATGGTTAATATGCTATGTATAATGAAATAAAAGCGGTAAAAATATTTCTTGTGTATCATGAAAACCATATTTTACTAAAAAGTTTGTAAAAATTAAAAAGGGTGTATAAAGAAAGAAGAACATTTTCATTATAAATTTGAAAAATCAAAAAGATATTACAAGTATATTAAAAAATGTATAATATGTTATTAATTAACAAAATTAAATAAATCGTTGTTAAATTAAAATGTTGAAAAGGATAATAAATATTTCGCAAATTTCTGTTACTTAGACTTCATTTCTTCGAGTTTCACAAAGAAACTTAATTTATAAAAATTAAAAGAAAAAAAAACAACAGAAGAGAAAAAATAAAAATTGATAAAATTTTCATATACAATATTTGTGATATTATTAAATCATGCTAAAAATTCTATTATTGAATAAAAAAAATATAATAAAAAAAAATTAGATTTAGTCTTTATTTAGTTGTTTCTTTGTTGGACATACCTTTTCGATAAATCTAAAATTGAATTTTAATTTAAATTCTTTACTTCACAAGGATACATTTTGAAAAATAAATAAATAAAAGGACTTATTATCGTGAGTATCTAGCTTTTGTTTTTATATATTTATATCTCCCTTATTTTATCCGGCATTTTATACATATTTTGTTGCTTTACACTATTTTTAGATCAATCATCTTAAGGGGCTAACAACTGGAATTAATTAGAAATTTTTGTTTTCAATTGATAATTTAAAATATAAGAAGTTTACATAAAGTAAATTTATAAAAAAAATAAGAAAAATATATAAAAAAATTAAAGGTAAAAAAGCAATATTATTAAACTACAATAAATATTTTCAAAATCAAATAGAGAAGTTCCTAAATTTAAAATAATCTTCAAATTAGTTTTTATCCCTTTTTGTAGTGTTGATTTTTAGTCCCTTTAATTGTTTGAAAATTATAAATTTAAACAATTCCACAATTTTAATGAGGTTTGTATTATCGATTAAACATAATACGTTTATAAAATTGTGTCTGTATTATGCAGTTAATATTTATAAATTTGCCAGAAGTTTATATTTCTATTTTATTTGGCGGTTCAGTAATTTGCTTTATATTTGATATTAAAAATATAAAAGCTGAAATTTAAGTTAACAGAAATTACATACGCCTGGATATTTTAAAATTATTTAAAAATTTAATAGTTGCAGCATAATATTAGCACTAATCATTTAGTAAATATGTACTGTTTTTTATAAATTACTTTTAGATCTTTTCTTGCTTTAAAAATTTAAGTGAAAATTTTACATAAAAAACTTGATCCGCGTGACACTTTTTTAACAAATAAAATTTATATATTTTATCGACCTAACGAATATTTTTAAAACATAATTTTTTCTCAAATCAAGAATTTCCAAATTTTTATAAATTATATTATATAAAAAAATTGAAATAAATTGTTTTAAATTTATTAATAAAATATTTAAATAAAAGAGACAAAAAAATAAAAATGTTGCATACAAAAAGAATGAAAATGTTGAAATCATATAGATAAATTACTATATTATAACCAATTTACCTTGTAAGGGACTTGTACCATTTGTTGGAGAATTCCCATTTTGTTGAATTGTATTTAATATAGAATTACAAGGTACTATTGGAGATGATGCTGAAAAAGTTATTGAAGCAACTTTGTCGGCAATTTTTTTGCCATTCTGTTCTGATTTAGCACCACTTCTTGTAACTTTACTATTTGAAGTATTTTTAGTAGTATTTAATTCAGTTTTAACATTACAATCCTTCTGTTTATCATTAATTTCGTCTAAAGTTGGTGACGCAGTCTTTTTGATAGGAATTTTCCCTTCAAATTTTTTCTCATTATTAAATAAATCAAGCGTTGGACTATGCAGTTGTTTTGTTAAGTGTGCATTTAGTTTTTTCAAAGTTTCAGCATTCGTAGTTTGATCTTTAGTTGATTCCTTTTCTAAAAAATATGTTTTTGAAAAAATAAGATAGATTTGTACTATTTTGTCTTCAACAATATACAAACCATCAATTTCTGATTTTTTCTTTCGACCGCGTCTCCGCACTACTTTAACTTCTTCCTTTTCTTTCTCAGATTTTGCTTTTTTAGATTCTCTTTTTTTCGTTAGTTTTTTTGAAGTTTTAGGTGTATTTTTTATTCTGTATTTTTTTGCATTTGCTGAAAACCAGTCGTCGTCATATTCCGAATCAGTTTTACGCCTCTTTCTTTGTTTTACATCATCTTCGTCATCTTGCTCAGAGTCATCAATGTAATCAAGAATTTCTTTAGTTGTCTTTAAATTTTCTTGTACGCATAATTCTTCTTCCTCATCTTCTTCCAATGTTACAACACTTTCATGTAGAACAGCTTTTATATCATCTGGTATATGAGGATTCGATTGTATTTCATTCAAGTCCAGATCTGGATTACGCTCTTTAAACGTTTTCTTCTTCATCGGCATGCATTGCTTTTTCATTCTCGATATTAAATTTGGCGCAATTTCATCATTATTTTTATTACACAGAACATCGAAATCAGATGGTGGATTTGATGGTATTTGATGACTTTGATCTTCTGGATGAAATCCTACATCCCTGCCCTCTAGCCAAGCTTCATATTTATCTGGTTGAAAGCGTTTTACAAATGTGTCCATTGATATTTTTACCATGTCATTGCTAGAAAAGTAGTGAATTCGTTTTAAGCAAAATACAATATGCCTTTCGTCTTTTTTTTTGTTTTTACCTGCATGTGCATTGGGACGCCCTTTTGCCATATTCAATCCACCGTTCCATTGCAAAATTAGTAGATTCTGCACAATTAAATCCGTGATTAAAACCAGAGTGATATCCAAATGGAAACGTTATCATTATTTCTCCACTCTCTTGTGTGATCTATAATAAAATTTTAAGATTTTACATAGTATGAAAAATTATTTGATCTGTTCTGAAAATACCTTATTGACAGTAATACCATGCTGTTTTAAAATTTGTGGATTTATTAAAGTCATTTTGTGCCTTAAATAAGCATGACAATTTTGATAACTAGCAGGAAAGTATTCATTTGCTATTTTTTCTAATTTTCGACCATGTTCAGGTGGAACCGCATACCATGTTTTCGGTGCGCCAAAATGTAAATAATTTATAGAATATAAATCCATGTCTTCAGTGTGCCATGCAAAAGTTGTTTTCCACATTCCAAAATACAAATAAGCTGTATTAACTCCATCAATTTTAATGCCATAATCTTCATTTACATAATCCAAAATAGTCCCCAATTTATTAATATTCCAAATCTAAAAAATTTACAATATTAAAATATTAACCTATTAGAGATTTTAATATTATGATTTACATTTTGATCTGGGTCGGTTATACTTCCGCTAATATCAGCACCATATATCGGTGCTACATATGTGATATTTTTCCAATATTTTCTCTCTAAATCATCATAGTCAAAATGTTTGGGAGTCTGATATCTTTCCGTATTTGCTAGCTCACTAAATTGCTTAACGGTCAAAGGCTTTTTCTGTATATTTATTTGCTGATAAAGACCTTGCTTTCCAGTTGCAACCTGACATATTGGAGCAGGTATTGTTACATTTAATGCATCTAGGTCCTCATAACCTCGTTTTCTAGGGATCCATTCAGGTGGTGGTATTACTTTTGCCAAACCAGCTTTTTGTGCTCCTTGGCTTTCCATATATTCAACATATTTTGCGAAATTTTTGAACTCGTCATAAGTTGGTCTAAAGACCATTATTTTCGGAATTCCGGTCATTTCGAAATTTTACAAATGCAAGTTGATATTTATTTTGCTTTTAATTAAGTTTTACAAATATTTTGATAGCCTCTCTCGGACACGCCAGATTTGATTGCTGATGTGCCTAAAATATTATCAATGCATTATTACTCTTATTTTAAATACAAAATATTTTTTTAAATTGCTATATATATAATTAATTAACTGAATGCGGTCACTCCTTGTGTACAAAAAAAAACGGATCACATTTTTAATAAACATAGGTACATGTTATACACAGCATATGTACCTGCCTAGGTACACTATTTACTTGCACATAAGTTGTTAGGTTTTATAAATTGAAGATTAACAATTTACATACATGAAAATATAATACATATGTACAAACCAAGTAATTATTGCGAAATTTATTAGCTATTTTTAAAAATGCTTTCTGAATTCAATAGCTACTGAAAAATTATATGTATAAACAATTAATTGTTTACAATTAGTTTAATTTTATTTCATATAAACATTTCAAAAAACATACTTAATTATATTAATTCCAGCTCAAATTTTAAGCAGAAATTTTATGATAGTGGTGTACGTGACTTCTGCACTAAAACACACTCATACAAACCTTTTGTATTTTGCACAATTTATATCAAAATAAAAATTTTTAGAAATTTTAAACATATTATTTTACTACTTCTTAAAAATTTTACTTGAATCTTGCTTTATTTACAAGTTTTTAAAAAAAAAAACCATATATTTACTGATTTTTAAGTATTAAAATTTTTTTTTTATACACCGTAGCCATTTTGAAGTGATTGTGTAGGTTTTTCATAACACTATATTTCAAATCAACTTACCTACAAATTAAATTTATTATATCATTTAACCTACAACTTTTTATTAATACTATAAATATTTTATTTTTAATTTAAATTCATATTATTAGTAAAAATTTTATTTATTTTTCTTTTTCTAAATAAAATACACCTTCGCGTGAGGGTACTGTTCAACTTTTAAAATTGAAACGATTTGAATAATGAATTGAACGATTTCACAAACTCGCGAGAAATGATGTGAGGAATTGAGGAAAAAAAGTATTTTGTTTTTGGAATTGGATATGTGTGTATTTGCTAACAAAAGAGAGCCACTATTTTGACATTCATGCCAATTACGTGTTAGAACACAAAACAAAGAATCGATTTGATACTCGATACATTATTGTTGATTAATTAACGATACATAAGTAGTTTACTGCAAAAGATAAATATAATATTATATAATAAAAGATAATGCATATGATATACATATAGTACAATAAATATTTTCAATCAAAAAAAAACAACCGAGTATAAATTATTAGTTGTAGACTTGAATACTTGTCCGCCATAACAAATTTTTCGCGATAAAAATTTTTGTATTTATTACATAAATGAAAGGGAATTACATAAATGAGTAAGAAAAATAAATACATATTTTGTATTTCTGTGGTGAGTTAAATAATTGAGTGAATTATGTCGATCAAATTACATACATATTCTTATGTTGCCTTCATCCATATAGAACATTTAGAGAATATGTGGTTTCTGAGTGTTAAACATAATTTTAAATCCTTGGTTTAAATCTTATAACAACTAATGTATACTGCCGCGCGCTAATTTTGATTTAATTTTGATATTTAGAAAAGCTATTATTAGTTTTGATGTTTAGATTTTGACAACTATAGAAATAGTTGCTGTTATTAAATACTCCATTGCTTACAATAATTTTCCAGAATATGCAAAGCCAAAGTATATCTATTAATAAGTAATTCGACTCGTTCCATTCCGTTAGTTTTCGTTTGCATCTTGCCTTCGAATGTATGAAAGCAAAAGAGATTGAAATTTCATGTATGAATGTACACATGCAGGTACCTATGGTACAGTAGATACACAGTATCAGGTAGTGACACAGAATTAAAGAAATTCGTAAAGAAAAAGAAGGTGTATGCATACTGATTAATACTTTATGAAATATAATTAAATTTTAAAAGAGAATCTAAGGAAGAGCAAAAATATTTTATTTATATTTTATACTGTAACTTAGATTTATATTCGTTTGATCGGTGATTTGGGAATTTTTCACTCAAAAACTAATACATGTTTTTTAAGTTATATTTTTTATATTAATAAAATTTTTTTGGTTTTTTCAACTATATTAAATTTGTTTATGTAATCTTTATTTGAGCAAAAGCAATAATTTTCAATTTTAATTTGAAAAAAAAATTCAGTTTTATTACGCTACAAATTAAATTTTATCTTTTAAGTTCAATTGCAGTAATGAAACAACAATCCACTTTATTTCCACTTGTAAGGCGCCATTTAATGTCATAAGTATTCTTAAACACAAAAAAAAAAAAATAAATTAATACATTTCTGTATAAGTTACCTACTTATTTATTTATAAATTTATACTCACGATTGGAAATTTTTTTGCAATTTGCAATGAATATTTATAAGTTTGCTTAGTTCCTTTTACTACTGGACATGCTGTATGTTTGCAAGCATCTGTATCCATTCCTGTTAATGGTAAATCAGCTTCAGTAGCCCAATATACTTGACCCACAAGAGAATCAGCGTCATTCTCTTTTTATTTGAATTTTATAAATAATATGAAAAGAATTCCAAAATATTATATGAGTATAAAGTAATAATAAAAATTAAACAAACTTGGAATAAAATCAAATTCAATGTCAGCAGTTTTTCCTCTTTTAATTACACATGGTTTATTTGAAGCAGCTTCTGGACAAGGATTTATTTTGACATTGCTAACTGTACATGTTTCTTCTGAAATTTTTAAAATATAGAAAAATATTTTTAATAATTGTGTTTCAGGTTAAAAAGTAAAATTTTTACATATAATTTACAATAATACTAAATTTTATAATAAAGTCTACAATAATACTAAATTTTGAAAATTTTAAAGGATGCAGTAAGGATGCACTGTAAACTATAATAAAAGTATGGTAATTTTTCTATTGGAAAAAAAGAAAGAAAAAATTGTAATAGGTAAGAAATAAATTGGTAAATTTTTTAAATAAATTGCAATTTAGTGACTGCAGGTAAAAAGATTTTAAATTCAGGTAATTGGTTTCATTTCGGGTTTTTTTTGTACCTGTAGCCTTCCATATATGTACATACATAGGTATATTAATTTTAAGGATATTTAGGTTGAAATTTTTTCTCAAAACTTATAAACGTACTGAAAATATTAACAAAGAAAAAATCAGGTAGTTTTTTTGATTATTGCAATAAAAAGGTTATTTTGGCAGGACAGTTCACCAAATTTAATCAAGAAATAAAGATATTCATTAATCTGAACCTTGATATACATACATATATTTATTTAGAAATTTCTTGCTGTTTTTAATTTTCAATTGTATTGTTGATTACAAATTCATGACTAGGACTATATCTCAATTTGCTTTTGATGAAATTTATGCATTAAGGTAAATTTGCCGCTTGCACATATGTACATTTACACTTCTACGGATGAGTTAAAAATAAACTAATCATTTTCTTGACTGCCTGTTATGATTTTGATCGCATAATTTAAGTTTTAAATACATTGGTTTAAATTTTTAAAAATTGAATTACAAATGACGAAAATAATATTCCATATCAGTATAATTACGATTTCTTATATTCAGCATTTTGTTTGCATGTCATTAAACTTATAAATTAATTTACAAACGATTCAATAAATATTTTAAAATACATTTAGTACTTGTGTTTTTTTTTTGATAATGCCTTAGGGTCAACTACCCTACTCAAATTGTATAAGGGTTATCTTTAGGTCAAAATATAAAGTAAAATAACATAAAGCTAAAACAAAATATATTTAATTATCTTTTGTAAAATAAAAAACACAAAGGTAAATAAAATTACTTAGTGATAGAAGTTTCAGTTCGGAAAGCTCGGATGGTTTATACGACACACGAATGTCCGTATTCAAAATGTGTTTGATTTTAAATTAATACACAAAAAGTTAAAAAATACTTTTCAAATTTAAATGATCCAGTTCGATTTTTTTAAAATTATTAAAAAACAATTGTGAGATACATACGAGTAGAAGTACTATCGATCAATACCGATAATTAATCTGTATTACATACTTATAATAAACGAATAATCACAATCTATCACAATCTTATGACAAATAACAAAAAAAAATTTGTGTTTATATGAGATTCATATTTACATGTAAACTTTGGGCTCAGGTAGACACGACTTAATTGTAAAATCATTGCGCACATATTTAATCGATCATATAATCGTATATATTGTGTGCGCGCATACCATATTTAAACATATGGAAAACAGGCAATCAAACAGTTGCAAAACTGAAAATTGTATGTCTGCCTACGTCACTAAAAATTAATTGAATTTTAAATTAAAAAAAAAAGTAAATCCGATTTAAATTTTGTCCCTTAAGTCATTTCGAACTACATATAAACATATATATAGATTCTTATATACATTTCTGTGTAAATTTTAGAATGAATTTTGCACATCAAACTCGTATATTCTCTCTGATTTTGCAACATAAAATTTATGTACACTTAATCTTATTAAATTGTTCACATACATACATATCTACTTAAGCGAGTGTTAGAAGCGCAAATATATTTTTCATCTCATATGGGTTAATTATTAAAAAAAAAAAAAATTTATATAAATTTAAATATTAATATAAATTTTGTTCACATTACCTGTTCCCGAGCATGACCGAAATTCAACTTCCTCACATTTTGCATATGCAATTATAGCAAAGAAAACAATGCATCTAAAATTAAACATAATTTCTTTTCGGCTTTGTATTATACTCCGTAGAATAGAAAATTTTAGAGATCTAAAAATTATTTTTTTTTTTCTTCTTTTAATTTTTTATATTTATTTCAATTTCTTGATATTGAATTTTATTTTTTTTTTCAAAACTGACAAGTACTCAATAAGACGTTTAAAATCAAACTAATGAGATGAAATGCTAGAATTCGTCACTGAAGGTGTAGAAATCAAGTGAAAAATATTATCCTCGTGAAGAAAATAAAAATAAAAAAAACGAGATTAAGTGGAAAAAGAAATATGTACATATCCATAAATTTATATTTACAACAAGAATTATGTATAAATGTATAGCTATAAAATGTATAGAAAGTAGCTTTATGTACATAGATTCATAAATATATTTAATCTTATTATTACAGGGTGGGTATTCTATTTTCTAGATTATTCATAAGTTTTTTATATGACTTACTCTAAAAAAATTTTGATTTGTAAAAGAAAACAGCAAAAAAATTCATTGGGGGTGGAGGGAGGTTGCAGATATTCTCATTTTCATTTACATATATACAGGGAAAGTCCGGTACCTTTTTTCAACAGGCTATCATCTCAAAAATGAGTAAATCTTCACCCACCCACCCCGTTCACCGTGACATTCATTTGTAAGCTTTACTTTTATAATTTAAATGAGATACCCTATATATACATTATTTTTATGTCTAATTTTCAAATTTTTGCACATATACATATACCCATTCAATACACATAAGAAAACGTATTAAAAAATCATTGTTAGTCAGATTCAAAATAAGCATTTTTAATTGATAATCAGTTGAGTTCATAATACTATATAAAAGTATGTATAATATTTATGATTATTATTATAATAGATTTATAAAGAATTCAATTTACTTTGTAAATTTTAGATTTATTGATATTTGAGTAAATTTATGCATCCAATGTTTTACAATGCTCCTACATCATCATAAACCGTTTTTATGGTTTTACGAGTATAGAATTATGAGTACTATACAATAAATTCAAAATATTTAATGCATAAACTATAGGAAAAATAAAATAGCCGATTTTTAACAATTCATTTTTTTTTTCAATACTCTCCAAATTTATATTAGTTAAATTATATACCACATTTCATTAAAAAAATGAAATAAGATGCTTTAATCTTTATTAAATTATTATCATAATTGATTAATTGTTCTTCTTCAAATTTACTTATTATTTTTAAATTTTCTTATCGTTTCTGTCTTTGCTAAAATATGTGCTAATGTATATGTATATACCTATACAAAATTCATTTTAAATAATCGTATTGCTTTATATAGAAAATTTCAAATTTACTTACGTCTACAAAGGAGCATACATAATTATATTTGTCTATTATATCATTATAATTTCTTGTTAATAATATTAAAAATTTCGTTTTACTTTTTATTGATTTCTGTTTTCTGACGAATTTTATTGTTTATAATGTATTTTTTATTGTATTTATGTTGTGTACAATTATTGTATATAACTTATGTACATATGTAAATTGTTTAAGTTATAATTTTTGGTTACATTTACTTTATTAAATATACTTATATATACATATATGTATTTATCAATATGCAACTATTACTTACTTTTCTCTGCTATTACTAAATCTAAGTTTTTGCGGTCATTATTGTCATTCAATTCGGTTTTTTTTATTCCTTTTTCATGTATGCACTAATTAGGGTGCAGTGCAAAATTTTGAAAGAGACATCCTGACTCAATTCAATTTTTCACTCATTTCTATTTCTTTTTTTTTGACATTTTCTCTATTTAACAATTATCTCAGGCACAAACCCATTTCTGTTTTCTGATTGAAAATTTATATTGAATTTTGTGAAAATTTATATGAATTAAAAATATTTTTGTATATATATATTTAAATATCAAAAAATTTTCATTTATGCACTCAATAATGAGAAATGTACTATTGTACGACTATGTTTTGATTAATAAAAGTAATTTAAAATTGTTATAGCAGATGTTGTACATAATATTTTCGATAATCCTAAAAAAATATTTATTCTTTTTTCTATTATACGCTTTTTTGTTTATAGTTAAATGCATCATATATATTAATAATAAGTTTATTAATATATATTAATATATTATTAATAAATATTAAAATTTTACTACAATTACTTTGCACCTTACAATTGAAATCGACTTATAATCTTATGTAAAATCGATTTTGCGAAAAATATTTCAGTTTTAATTTTTTTTTGAATTTTTTTTTACTATATATTTTATATAAACGTGTTTAGAAATATATATTATTTAATATACACATATATATTCCTACATAATTCAATTATAATAGATGATTGAATGCGACGCATTTTCCTAATTTATTAAATATTCATCTTTTTAGTAAACATTTTGTATGAATGTGAATTATGTCTTGCATACCCGCATTTGTATACATATGTATATCTAGTAAATTTATGACCTTTATGAACTCTAAATTGTACTTTATTTGTATGTAAGTAAAGATATGTATGTACATATGTCTTTTAAATGTTTTAAATATTGTATAGTCTTCCAAATATCCACGGTTTCATTCATAATTTCTAGTTACAATAGTTTATGTACGAATGTATATATATGCAAATAAATAAAGTAAATTCAGAATTAAGATGTTTATTAAAATTTTCTTTAAATTTATGAAAGGGAAGTAGATTTTATTCAATTTCAATTTTATTTTATATATATAATACATACATATAATATTTATTAACATATTTGGACGTATAAAAATATAAATATAATTTAAAAAAAATTATAATAATAATATAAATAAAAAAAGATAATAAATATAATAATAATAATAATAAAAGGTAATTTTTCAATTAAAGATAATGTTAAAAATTTCAATATAAAATGTAATGCGATTTTATATTATTTATATTGTGTATATGGGGCCAAGTATGATCACTGAACTCAATTTTAATAAGTTGATTTCTGTGTTTATAGTATCATTTGAATTAAATTTAATATTGTTAGTTATTTAAATGAGAATTTTTTTCTGAAAAATTTTTTTATAATTTTGTATAAAGATTTTGTTTGTTAGCACAGAATACAGTTTTTATGTTTAATTATATATCCGTTCAAAATTACTTTGAAAATTTAAATAGCATTATTGGGCATTATTGACGGTAAATATAATTATTGACATAATATAATTTTATCAAATAAATAAAGTTGAAAAATTTAGTATGTAAAATTTCTAAGCTAATGCATAAAATTTAATTTATCATTGACGTTATGTTAATTATTAAACTGTTTTCACAACTTCGATCACTATTTCAGAAGCATATATTTTATCTTTCTGAAATATTCTCAGTTGAATTCATTAATTCACTTCTGATACATTATGAAACAGAAATCAATTTGTGACAGTTTCTATGGTTATTTGACGGTGTTTTTTCCCCTCTTGAATATTGTTGTGTTGAATATACTTTAAAAAATTGAAAACCAACAAAATGAGTTGCGTCTAGAAATGAATTTTTAAATTTATTATACAAACATCTTTTTATTTATTATAATAAAGAATATAATTATATATTAATTATTTTACTCTTCATAATATCAACAAAAGAATTCTTACTTAAGTTTCAAACACACGCATAGGATGTGTCATTTAATATTTCGAAATGTTAAAAAAGTTTTAACATAGTGCATAAAGATTTAACTTTGTATTCACAATGTTAATAACACTGAAATGTTTATGTATGCCAAATTTTAGATCCGAATTTTTTTGTCAAATATTTCGTTAGTTTTGCCTTGATTTCATTACTTTGAATAAAGTTTTGAAGACTAATAAGAAAATTTGAATTAATTAATAAAAATAATTTTTTTTTATTTTAATTTAAATATACATAACTTAATTTTAGATTTTCAGTACTCGAGAATGTCAAATGATAAATGTATTATGCTACAGATTCAAAAAACGTAATATAAAGTATTCTAACAAAGAATATAAAGTATTCTAATTAAAATTTTCAATTTCTTGTTGCCGATCTCGAAATTACACAAAAAATTGTTTGTTAAAAAAATCTAAAGAGCGTGTTAAACATCTAAGTTCATTTGCACCCAGTATTAATAATTTACTGATTAATTTTTTTTTTTATTTTTAAACAATCATAAAAATATTAGGTGCGAAAATGTGATTATTAAAAAAATTTGTACATATTCTTCAAAATAAAAATAAGTTATCAATTATTTAAAATAATTTTTCTAGTTTTTTTTTTTTTTAAATAATAATTAAGAAGGTTATTATAACGTTTTTATTTAAATAAGTCAAATATTTTAATATTTTTTTGTGTAAATATAGACAGTGCACCTACTCCTTATAATTTTTTATTTTCAATTAATTAATTCTCTCTCTTAATTCTCTCTTTTATTTCTGTTAAGTTTTTGCTGTGGAGTCTATGATCTGTCTATGAAGTCTATGATAAATCGTGACATTCAAAATGCCTTGAAAAAACTTTTTTTTCAGCTTTCCTGCAATATTATTACCCTAGCAAAACTTTAAAAACAAAACCAATTATTTCAAAAACACATTGGTTAGCTATTAAAGTGTTAAATTTGGCAGGAAAGTGCTAAACAAATTTATTTGGCCTGGACACATTTTTTAATTGAATAAATTCAACAAAATTGTTTTGACATATTGTGGTAAAAAAGTAGTCTCTATTTTTTCACTAGGCTGTTTGATGTCTTATTGTGTAGTTAAAATTCATTTTTTTGCAATTTGGATCTTGTTATATTGAAGTAATTGTTTATTCTACAATATGGATCACGGATATAAAGTAGTATTTAACTGATATTGAATTTTGGAGAACTAGGAGATTAATACATGTACTTATGGTGAGTTTTACAATTTGCCTGCAAAATTTTATTTCAAAACTGTATTAAATCTAATTTTCAAGTAAACTTTGTTTTTTCATTTTCTTCTGCTTCTACAAAGTTTTATTTTTTTGATTAAAATTGGTCACTATACAAATGTAAAAAATTCCAATGAAAAATTATCTTCACATTTTAACTAATTCTAAAAACATTAACAAAATTTAATAAAATTTAAATCACACCAGCTTAATAATATTTATATGCATCCTAGGGGGGTTTTGATACAAGACGGTGGTATGTACTTACGTATTTGGTGTAACGCTGCTCTGAATGATTGAGATTAAAAATATGGTAACATAAATTCTGGATCCAATTTTATAACTATGTATTAAAAATTCTAATTATCTGCTTAAATGTTTTCTCTTATTTTAATCAGAGATTTTATAGAAATTTCTTTATTTACATTATTTTATTTTGGTAATATATTACAAATATTTTGTAAAATAAAAAAAATTCATATTATAATTAAAAATTCTTTATGCTCAACTGTTTTTTTTTGTATTTAATATAATTTTCAAAACTAATAATAATTAAAATACTAATTTTATTTGACACATCACTTACATATATAATATTTTTAAGATTTGAAAAAAGAATCGAGTTTATTTTTCATTTTTTAGGAATTGCCTTACTGGCAGTGCATTTCTTTGCTAATTAAATAATGTTTATTCAGGTTTTGAGTCTATATTTTTGAAACAAAAGTGCATGCGTTATAATATATATTGTAAATGTATTAAGGCATATTAAATATACATATATATATTAAAATTTATATATCAAACATTTTAATGATTTCACATACACATATTTTTAATATTTTATATTACATCATTTGAATAAAGAATACAGAAACAAATTTTGAATTCGCTTCATAATTAAAAAGTGTTTTAACTAATGGATGGAAGATACCTAACATTTATTGAACATGTCTTTGCAATCACGGTTCAAATCAATTGTTCTTAGCACAAAAATTTTACTACACAAAGTAATTATTATTTTTCAAATAACAATTTTTTGATATTCAAGCAGTAAACACAAGAAGTAATAAAAAACAAAATCAAGTATAGTAGTTAATATGGGAAAAAGCCATATTTTATGAAATGATATGCAATTACAAGTAAGTCACTACAGTTTGAAAATATTGCATACATATTGGAGACAATCTAAATGATCCTAATGCATAATATAATTATAATTCATTGAAACCAAGTTTATGTATTTACAGATGTAACTCTTTAAAATTTAATACTTAGATTTCGAATTTAAAATGATTTAATGAAATTTTGAGAGTTTAGGATAAATTAAATAAGAAGAATAAAATAAAAGGGGTCAATTTTTTTTTAAATACTAATCAAAAAAGTAAAATTTTTCTACGGGAAATTTAAAATTATTGAATTTTAGAATATTTCTTTAATTTTTGTTCCGTATTGATTGCAGTAACACTAAATTAAAATAATCTTTATTATTTGTATGTATGTAAATAAGTTTTATATAAGTATAAATTTAAATGTTAAGTATTCTAACAGAATATCAAATTGCACGTCCGGCTATTTTTTATTTAAAACGGCAGAAAGCACATTTTAATTTAACAAAAAATTTTTGTTTTTCCTCTTACATTTATAATATTTTTAATGTAATATATATATTATTTAATGTGTGTATGTATTTTAGATTTAATGGTGTGTATTGAACTTTTATAATACTATATATATATATATATTATCAGATAACATACGTACATAATGTATATAAATAATATTTACAAATTTATTAAATGAATTTCTAACATTAAACTATACATAAAGTTGTGTCTTTGCATAATGAAATTTGAGCCTCTTGTAAAATTCTTAATCGTGGCCCTAATGGTACTCCAAGTTTTTGAAGACGTTCTTCACCCAAATATGGTAATTCAATCATACCAACACGTTCTGATTCAAATAATTCTGCATATTTCTAAAAATAAAAAAAAGAGCAAATGTAAAAATTTTCCAATTAAATATTGTAACAATTTTGTTATAAACCGAATGTAATTGTACCTCATAGCCCAGTCTTTTAAGGAATAGTCTCATTAGAGGTGGATCTTCACCAAAAAATTTTGTTAATTTTTTAACACGTTTTGGATTTGTTAAATTAGGTGGTTCTGGTTCGGTATTTTGTGTTCCAAATATTATTTGCGAACGATGGGCTTGATTTCTGTAAATTAAAAATATTAAGGAAAGAAAATTTTAAAGTGTGTTAATTTAAAAAAAAATGTGCTGTACCTTAATGTAGTAATATCGTCTCTCATTCGTTCCAATTCTAAATGCTCTGATCTCATTTCAGATGACAAATGCGCAACACTTCTTGCTAATGTTACCACATGTGATTCTAAACGTTGAAAACGTTTATTTATACCTTTGATATCACGTACTTTTCGGCGATCTTCATTTCGTCGACGATCTCTTATTGGCCTACTACTAACCGAACTTGAAGGTAATGAACTTAAACTGCCATGTCTTCGTCTGGCTGATCTTAATGGTGTTTCATTTATACGACTAGCAGCTGGGGCATTTCTTGATCCCAACATTTTTAAGACTTCTGAATACATATGTTCTAAACCTTCTAACTGACTTCTAATATGTCTTAAACCTTGCGTATCAGTTTCTGAGTCACTAACTGATTGTCCGGCACACCACGGTCCACCAAGGAGTGATTCTAAATCCAATGATCTTGTTGTTGTTGATGTTTGATCATTATCTAATCCGAATACTGCGTTATAATAGAAAAAATGTTTTCAAGAAAATCATTAAAAAATAATTTAAAAATTTATTTACAGTGTCTTTTGAGTAATGATTGCTCTTGTTTCTTTCCAATTCTTGAAATATTTTGCTTATGGATAGAGGAACTGGGCCAACCAGCTCGACATGGTCCAATAGCAGCAGCGCTTCTTCCTGGTCTATTATAACTGTCCATTCCATATTCTAATTTATTAGAATCAGTGGACTAAAATAATAAATTCTCATTAAAATTTAATCATGCTAAAATTTATTGGTAATATATAGAAAATATTACTTACCGGTTTACTTTTAGTTCTACTATTAGGTACTCCATCCGGAGAAACAGGTGGTAGAGGTGGCGTAATAGAGGAAACACTGCCTGATACTGTGCTTTCCGGTCGTATATTCAAATTTTGCATTCCCGGCTCTAAAATATTACGTAATTCTGCATCAACAATATCCACCCATTCTGAATCATTTTCTTTTGAAGGTCGAACTACCGAATCAGAGTTTTCCGGACTTGTGTCAACAGCTTTTCGACCACTTGAGTATGCAGCACTTCCACGGCCAGAATCAACATTAGAACTATGATTACCACTTTTATCATAATCAGAACTTGCTGCAGAGCTAGGTAATTTTGATTTTCCGTCTGGCTTTGGCATAAGTTTAGGTGGTCCTTGTGGTTGACTTCCAGATGCTTGCATATTATTTGTTTCATTTGAATTAATTTGTTGTAAGTCTTGTAAATTTTGATTTAATTCTTGGTGATGTTGAACACCATTTTGCTGATTTTGTTGTAATTGCTGTTGCTGAGCTTTATGAAATGATACCCTAAGTAAATCTTGCCTTATTTGCATTGATTGCATATTTAAAAGTTGTTGTTGAACTTGAGCGTTATGGTTTTGAATTTGTTGTGGAGATGGAGTATGAATATAAGGCGATTGATATTGTTGATAATTTTGGGGTTGTTGTTGAATTTGCTGCTGTTGCTGTTGTTGATGCATATGAAATTGTGTATAAGTACTTGGCGTACTAAATGCATTTGGAGTATTTCTAAAGTGGTGTGGAGAGTTTCTAGGTGTTTCATTTGGAGGATTTTGTTGGTTACATTGTTGTTGCATTTGTTGTGAAATTTGAGTTTGGTGTTGATGCTGTTGTTGATGCTGTTGTTGCTGCTGCGATAAATATAATGTATTTTGGTTCGGTTGATTTTGTGATCTTTTGTGGTGAGTTACAAAGCCACCATCGTCACTATCAGTTATATCAATATTCGCTAAAGATCCTCGTCTTTCAACATTCTCTAAACCTTGTGAATTTCTCCGATCAAATCCTACATTTAATTGAGGTTGAGATGTAGCTCTCTGCTGAACACCACGTAATCCTATATCATGAGATGTAAATTGTTGTTGAGCTTGTTGTTGGTTGACATTTTGTTGGTTCGCTGTTTGTTGGGGTAAATTAGTTTTCGCGGAATTCCATAAATTTGCTGATTGAGTTGTATTTAATCCATGATGATGTTGACGCATATGAGGTGGAAGTGCAGAATAAGGTGAACGCAATTCATCTTGTTCAGCTGAACTTTGTTGACTGTTTTGAACTATAACATTATTAAGTCCATCAATATTTTCATTTGCATCTTTTTTAAATCTAGAAGAAATGAGATCTTTTATTGTATGATAAGTTTTCGTTACAGCATTTTTCGAATCTTTTAGCTCGCGATCTTTATTATTTTCCCTTTCAGCTAATGCTGTAACATCTTCAGGTAAACGTGCTGGAGTTCTAGGTATTGCTCCCGTTAAATTTGGTTGTGTCGAATCTTGATGATGGTTATGTGCTTGTAATTGTTGTTGACTTTGAGTATTCTAAAAAATAAAATGAAAGATTTTTTTATGAAACTAATTTTTTGTATAAAAGGTTAAGATTACTGTTGCTGTTCATTACAATGAGATTAAAAATTCATTTAAATAAAGAAATTGTTTATTTTTAAATTACTGAGATTAAAAAAATTAAATTTTTTCTCATTTTGGGGAAAAAATAATTTCAACATTAATTCGAAAACTAAACTGATTCACTAGATAGTTTTACGAAAATTTTTGAAAATGGGCGAAAGTTTTTGTATAAATAAATTTTTTGCATAAAACAGGCGCAAATCCAAATACAAAATCGTATGCAGATGTTTTCAAAGTGCCAGATTTACTCACAGAAAAAAAACAGATTTTTTTGCAAGTGCAAATCGTCAAAGGCATATGATTTTAATTGTATGTATGTACAAGATACAATACAAGTACAAAATGCAACCGGAAAATTTTAGTATCATAAAATAAAATTGTAATTCGTAATACAAATCTTGCATGATTAAAAATAATCTTCTCTAATTTTATAGTAATCGTTATTACTCGTAATAATGCAATATTATTTTTTTTATATAGGATGATAGATAGGGTGATTTTTTTATTTTTTTGCAATTAAGTTTTTGGTATTTTTGCTTTTGATATTTCACAAAATCTTTTTGATAAAGCTGCCAACGGTAAATCGATCCAGTTTTGATCTACGTCAATTTAGTCTAAAAAATTATTTATATTTAACATAAATTTTATTTAAGAAAACATTTTAATCCGAAATTAAAATGCTTTCTTAATTCATTGGAATCCGAAATTTTGCGATTTAATTCAAATCTTTTTAAATCACTATACAATAAAGAAGATGTAATTGTTGATATTCCTGTCAAAATGAGCAAGTCTCACGTAAATTTTAATTTTTTTGTCTTTGAATAAAAAAAAAAAAAAAACTGTATAAAAACCACCCGTTATCTTTCATAATTGTATATGCAAAAATTTCAATACATTCACATATAAAAAGCCCCTATTATTACTATAATGTAATCCTATGGTAAAATCAAAAATATTGCGTGATATTATGTTATTTATATTTATATACATATGTAAGTATGTTGGTATGTAAATTACTAACTTATATGTAAAAAATAATAAGTTATCCATGCAGTTTTTTACTTTTTTTTTTTATAAACTTACATTTTCCAATGCAAATTCCACCATTATTATTGGTTCTCGTATTTATTATGTTTTATTGTTTTATTTATTCCTTTCTTTCCGATGAAATGAATTCGTTTTAAATATAATTAAGTCTTGTGTTTAGTATTCAAAGATTTCTTCTTTATTATTTTGTAAATTATAATTTTTGATATAACAATTCAATTAATAAATCAAACGTAAAATTCATTTTGTTTCCACTTTATGCTTTTTATGTTTTTTTAAAAGTCTCGCTTTAATTTTGCAATTATATATTTTTGGAACATTATTTTTTTAATTTTGGGATATTCTTTGGTCAGTTAATAAGTGTATAGATATACTCGTATGAGGTTCTTGGAATTATTTATGGTTCTGTTAATAAAAATTGAATTTTATATAGTTTAATTAAATAATTGATTTGTTGATCACAAATTAATTGATAATCTTATTTTGTTTTAATAATTCATTGATTATAAAACAAATTTATACGAACTAAATAATTTTTTCCCCTATAATTGGGTTATTTATTTCAATTACTTTGTTGTATGTGAATTTTTTCTTAATAAAATTCTTGAAACTTTTGTTATTTGCATGTTTGAACGAAAATTTATTACAACATTATCATTATGCAACATTACTTTACTTATTATTATTGTCAGTTGTCAAAAATCATTCAAAAAAAAAAATAATGAAAATAAAGAAATTGTTGATTTTTATGATTATCAAATTTAACTAAATTAAATATTCAAAAACCCATAAAAAAAATTACATACACTATACAGAGTGTTTTCCATAAGATATAGCGGGGGGCGGGGGCAGGGTGGGGTTAAAGGCAGCTTTATATTAGATGATTCCGAAATTAGTCGGAAACATTTATTTGTATAAATGAAAGAAAAAATCTGATACCTTTTTTTTAAACAGGCTGTAGCTCGAAAACGAGATTATTTGCATCAGCCCCCCCCCCCCCCCCATACAATTTTTTGCTTTTTACTTATTTGTTAACTTGTGGGAAACACCTTGTATAATTAAAAAATATTATTGAATATAGTTTATTAAATAATATTATTGAAATAATTTTGCTTTTATATACTTTTAAAAATTGAATGGAATGAATTGGAATTGGGAGCGCTTTTCCATTAAATGAATTTATTTATTGATTTTTCATTACCCTTTGTTTTGAATGTTAAACAATTTTTATAGCTAATTAATAAAATTCTTTATTTTAAGTTGGTTTTTTAAATTTTTTAAATTGTTCATGGACAATAATACCGGAATCCTCACAATTTACATAAGAATAATATGAATTTAGTTTTTATTAGAAAAAAATATATGCAATATTCTGCTTATTTTTATTAACAAAATATTGTGAAACGCAATATCATGGTATATTGAACTGTACAATGCCGTACTATATTTATTTATTATTTAATTTTGAAGAATTTTGATTAATACCACAATATTTACGTATATATGCTTAAATGTTTTTTAAAAATTTATGTTATCCTCACTATTGGGAAATTGTAAGATTCACAAGAATTATTTAGTTGAAAATATTTTATTTAATTTAATCTGTAAAATATTAAGTATTATTTTTAATTTTATTAATAATTATTTTATTTTATTTATGTTTAACAAAATATGATTAATAAGATCTATAACAGAATGAATAATAGAATTTGTTTCAGGATCGTTTATAAAATTCATTTAATTTTAAACAAATAAATTTGCACATGTAAATTTGCTTATGTATATATATAAATATCGTCGGTATTATGGAAGAGTCACGAAACTGCAAGAATGTATACAGAAAAATTAAGCAATTTCTAAACTATATTTAATTTATAAAAAAAAAACACCCTCGTAACTCTAACATTAGTATTTTTAGAAAAATAACGTTGTAAATTTTACACGTCTCTGCAAATTGACATTATTGTGTATATTTTTAAATGGGTTTTTCTCGTAACATAAAAAAAAATAATAGTTTCGTGCCTCTTCCTTAAAACCGACCATATATTGCATTAAAAAATCTCAATTAATATAAATTAATTATAAATATTTTTTAATTATTATTATTATTAAAAATAATTTTTGATTTAATTTTAAAAAACAAAAATAAAATAAATGAATTTTTTTTTATATTAATTTCAATAAATTTTGTACATTTTACATTTATAATTGTAAATTGGTTGTAATTTTTCAATTGAATAGTAAATATATTTCGTAGAAAATACGAAATATATAATTCATAATTTTAGCCTAATTGTGTGTATCTCCCTTTATCACTCACTTTTATTAGTCATTTTCAAATTAGCATTTTAATTTTTCCAATTAGATTTTTTTTCTCACATTTTCACAACTTGTCAACTTTAAAAACAAATTGATTAGATTTTGTCACTTAAAAATTACATTAAATTCACTATAATGACATTCACTCAATTTTTTCTCATTAGGTGAGTAAAAAGTGAGCTACATACACAATTAGAATTGCTTTTTTTGATATTTTGTATGTATGTAAGTACGATTATATTTAAATATTGTTATAAATTTTGAATTGGAATATTTTTTAAATAAATAAATTTATAAAATTTATTTTTTATATATTTTATATTTTATATAAATTAAAATTTTTAAATTCATAAAAAAATTATTCAAATTTTTTTAAATTTTTAATTGAAATTTTTTTTTCTTTCTTCCATTAAATTATTATTCAGTGATTCTGTTATATTTGAATCACACCAATATTCACACATTGAATGTATAAAATGGACATCGAACTCAATTAATTATTCCAATATGAAAATAAAAAATATTTTTTTTTTTTGTGTATTGTTATGAAATTTTATTTCATATCAAAAAAAATTTTTTGTAATAAAAACAAAAAAAAAACTAACAACAAAAATAGGTAGGTATTAAAATTATAAAAAATTTTTATATTAGAATTGGTTTTAAAAATTATGAATTTTTTATATTCGATTCTTTGTGCTTAATTCGATTTTCTTTAATTATAATGAAATTGTTTTAACTGTTATTTACGAACACTAACCGAATCTAAATAATTTAGAAAAAAAAAATTACCGTTCTAAATCTTAATTTCGGTAATTGTTTATATTCTATATTTTTTTTCTCTACATAAAATAGTGAATTTTTCTTATTTTTTTTTATTTATTCTTTAATTTTTGACATTTATGACAACCGATGACCGTATATTGCAAAAAAAAAATTAACCGACTCCTCGACCGATACATCAATATCGTTTATTGTTGTTGACTTTTATAAATCTAAAATACCACCGATGGCAGGTTCATTTCACGACAAAATATTGAAATAAAATGTTAAAAAAGAAAAGATTTTTTTTTTACTTTTTGTTTTGTCGGTTTTTTTCGTTTATTTTTTTGCTGTTTTTTATTAGACTTTTTTTATTTTTTGATTTTCTTCTTTTTCGATTTTTTTTTTTTATATAAAAATCATACCTTCCATCGCGCAAATGTACTCGTGTATTATAAAATGAAATTATATTTTTGAGTAAATTTATTGTTGTTGTTGTTGTTCTTAGTATTGTTGTATTATTATGTATTTTGAAAAAATTAAATAAAAAAAAAATTGTAAGTAATGAATAATTTTTATTCGATGCATGAATTAAAAAATAACAATAATAAAATAATAAAAAAAGACAAAAAAAAAGAATTAAAGAGAAAAAAAAATTTTTTTTTTTACCATTGTTTATATCAGATTTGGCTTCCATTTTAAGGGAACTCTTGTGGGGGGAATTTCAAAGCAAAAAGTAGTAATATCAAAATTTCCAAGTAAGAATCCAAATTAGAATAGAACATGAA